TGAGAGACTGAAATTCTTCTCCCCACGCACAATTGCTGAGTCAAACTAGTTGCAAGGAACCAAATTTTCTATTTAATTTAATGAAGCTTCCAAGGGTAGGAAAAGACCCAGATAAACATTAGGGACTTACATTTGGATGTGTAAAGTAAACCATATCCTGCAAAAAAATAAATGCTCCACTTCACTGCAACAATCACACTACATCCGGAAATTAAAGGCCATTTCAGTAAGTGTATTTATATTTCAAGGCCAAACTCAAATTCCTCATTCCTACAATTCTCACAAAATGCAAGGCTTTAAAGGCATTCAACAGAAGTCTGCTGACTGAATGATGAGACAGTCATAAAGAAACCTCCAGAGTCCCTTACCTTTTTAAAGAGTAACCTCCAATACGCCTCCCAGTCCCGGTCCTGGCTGAGCACAGAATCCTCGTCCACTGTTCCCTGCTCATCGTACACTGCTCTTTGCTCCTTGTCACTTAGAACGGAATAGACTTTCCCTAGGATCTGAGGGAAAAGAGCATCCAGAAGTCACCTCTGCATGTCCCACGGAAACCACGCCGCGTGAAACATCGGAAAACGCGAGGCCGAGATCAGCGCACTCCCCCGAGACGGTCGGAAGACCGGGAGAGGCCCGGCGGGGTCCGCATACCTGGAAGCGGCGGGTGGCGTCCTCCTTGTCGCCCTGGCCCGCCCGGTCCGGGTGCACCTGCAGGGACACCTTGTGGTAGCCGCGTCGGATCTCGCCCTCCGCGGCCTCGCGCCGCACGCCCAGCACCCGGTAGAGGTCGGCGGTGCCGAACGCTTCCTCGCACAGCTCCAGCAGCCCCATGCCGGGAGAGAGGGGCGGCCTCCGCAAAACCTGCGGGCCACAGCGCCCCGGCTCCAGTTCCCGACCAAAGCGCTTTTCCCGCTAGAAAGCTCAGGGCTCGCGCGTCACAAGCGGCGCAGAAAGGGAGGAGCCACGCCGCGCAGCCGTGCTTTACGATAGGCGCAAAGTGGGGCGTGGCCTGCGGCGGAAGGGGAGCCGGCACCTCACGACCCCTAGAGCAGAAGCTCCTGTGCGGAGAAAGCAGCTGTAGCCAGGGTCCAGCACGCCCTCTCCTACGAGGCCCTCCTCCCTTCCTCTGGCAATCTGGCCCCCCGAGTCCCATCAGAGGCTTATCCAATAATATATGGGACACCTGTATATTAGGATGAACTTATTTATTTAAAACAGCCAGATTTATTTAAAAACAAAAACTAAAAACAAAAACCAACCAAATCAGCATTCAGCAATCTCACATGGTTCAACCTAACAGTTACATAGATTTGTTTTTTTTTCAAAGATGATCCTGAAAGGAGTACGTAGAGCTGTAGGCCCAAATAGTTTTGCAACCTACAGGTTGTGACTGCTAGAGTACTTTCCAAAGAGCCCTGGGAAAAAAGCCACATTGAATAAAAAGCACAAAACACCGGTCTTCTCAAAACTCTTTATCTCATAGGAATTAGGTACTGGACATTTATTACAGGACCAACCCTATTCACCTTCCTGCTCCTGAGTAGGCTTACACACACCCCAAACCCTCATCTTAAAACGTAAGCTACTGAAGCAGAGGCTCTTTCTATTTTAATGCTTTGTAAAGTTCATAGCTGGGTTTCAGCATGTTGGATTTGAAATGGTAGCAGGGTAGGCTGGAGCAATGATCCAAGATATGGTGAGAAACTTGGGCCTGGAGATCCAAAGCAAGGCTAAGGTTGGAGAAAACTTTGGAAATCAAGGAGAGGATAAGCTCATCCAGGAAATAAGTGTATACAAACCTTAGACAAATGATAAACCAGAATGCAAAATGAATACCTGACTTGGCAGAAACTCAGTGGCTCAAAACACCTTACCTTAACCCATTTCACATCAGTTCACCTCATGGCCAGCACTTTCCAGAATTACATACTCCTCTGCCAATAAGTTTCTGCAAGGCCTCAAACTCTCCAAGATACATTAATAGCTTTTCACCCTCCCAGAGTTGCCATGGTTTTCAAAACACTTCTTTGCCAGATCCAACATGAAACCCAGTTAAAGACAGTTCCTCTCGGCCTGCCCTGGCTTCAAAGTCTCCTCAAAAAAAGTGGAAGCCAACCAGCAACAACCCTGGAGGAGCCTCGATGATTCCAGAATTTGAGATGGCTAGTAATTGTTCTCAGAATATGAGAATACGGTGGTACACTGATAGGGCTTTAGAACCTCCTTTATAAATTTTTTGTATCTTAGTCTTATGCCAGAATTTAAAATCTATGTTATACAGACTGTGCACTAAACCCATGTAATTCATGCTTATAGTTGTAGAATCCTGCAGTTCCAGTGGAACAGATCATGTGGTATTTTGTTTTGGCACAACCAATCATTTCCATTATCAAACTTCACGATACCTAAACATGATTCCATCAGACTTTCTAAGTGGACTTTCAAAAAGCCCCCATCTTTGCTCATTTTTCCACCTACAGACAACATAATATGTTGGAAATGTTGGAGTGAGCAGGACTGAAGCCATGCTGGCACCTAAAACCATATGGGCTCTAAAAGATTCTTGAAGGATACAGTTTTTTCCTTGGCATGCCTTTCTCTGAGTTTCTTCTTTTCCCATGGTTATTTGATATTTTGAACCTGGTTATGGGGCAAGATGACATTATTTACAAAAATGTAAAGTTGTTTGCCAGCTAGCCTGAAGCTGTAGACTTGCATGTACTACCCAGACCCTGAGATAGTGTGACAAGGTAGACTGATTTAGCTTATGCCATTTTTACTGTTTGAAAAGTGTTCTGTCGGGTCCACTGCCGGCTGACCAGAACAGCCCTAGCTTCGTTACTTTTGGTGGGCGAGCAAATGGCCCGGATTCCTCTTTCCCTCCTGTCCCCTTTGGAAGGAGACAGGGGAAGAGAGCCGTGAAGAGAGGTGAGCACAGCCGCCGGCCCCAGCCAGCCAGTTAAAGGACACTCAGACGCGGTGGGGGTTCTGTCGAGCAGTTCTGTTTACTGACGCGGTGGGGGTTCTGTCAAGCAGTTCTGTTTATTATCACACAAGCACTTGCTTTTAAAGGCGAATGAGGTAGGGAGGTTTTTTACATCCTCCAATCAGCTTAAAGGTTACCAGAGCATGCATCCTGTCTCAGTGCCTAGCTATTGCAACCACAGTGTTCACGAGCGTGGAAGCGCATATTTGGCCAAGAAGGGCTAAGGCAAGGTTCCCGCAGACACCCCCACCCTACTTCCTCCTGGTGCTGTCTTAGGCTGCCATGTTAATACGCCCTTGTGGGCCCATAATGGCGCCACTTGTAATGCCACTTAAGGTGGCGTTAGTTTTTAAGGCCCAACAGTGTTCTTGTTTGAAAACCCCCTCAACACCTGTGGTGAAAACTGAAGGTTAAAAATTGTCCTGTACTGAGAAAAATTATAAATTCTGCCTGCCTTTGCTGTTTCCCACCTATGCTGTCCCTGACTGATAAAACCAAGAGCTGTATCCGGATGTATCTAGACAACCTGAGGAGGAAACCACCCTGTGGAAGTTTTTGCTGTCCCTAAGTGATTAACTGGCTTATCTTGGCTTCTGTAACCAGCTTGCATTAGGCCTCACAAAACCCCCTCCCTCCTCACACTAGGAGGGAATGTGTATGACTATATGATAACTTTGACTGTGTGACTATGATTTTTTTCTTGTGTGACTATATGCCTTTAAAAGACCCTTTAAACTTAAACTCAGGGCTGCTCTCTTACCAGAATATCTGGAGAGACAGTCGCTAGCCAACTAATAAAGACCCCCTTTTTAAATTCTCTATTGGGTATTCTGGTTCCTTTTCCATGAGACAGCCTCATAACAATAGTAGCAAGGATGGGAGCTGAAACTAGATGGAGCCTTGCTGAGAATCTGCACCTGGCCCCTCGCACATCTTCCTCCCTCCTGTTTTTCATTTCCCATTTTCCACTCCCTCAACCCCTTCTTTAAAAACCCCTCAATTGGGCCAGCCCGGTGGCGCACTGGAGAGTGCGCAGCTTGGGAGCGTGGTAGCGCTCCCACCGAGGGTTCGGATCCCATGTGGAGACTGGTTCCCGCTCACTGGCTGAGCGCGGTGCGGGTGCAACACTGAGGGTTGCGATCCCGTTGCCGGTTCCCGGTACGGGCGCGACACCGAGGGTTGCAATCCCGTTACCGGTCAGTAAAAAAAGACAAAAAGGAAAAAAAAAAAAAACCCTCAATAAATCTGATTCTTTAGTCTCGCCCTTCTCCTTCAGGTTTACTGGAGAGATGGGTTAGCCTAACATCTCTCCTTAGGTCACTGGTATTCCTGAATAAAAGCTGACTTCCATTTTCACCAACATTTGACTTTTGCATTGTTTTTTTGTCTGGAGAAAGGTAGGCCAAACCTGTGCCAGGTAACAGAAAAGGCTTTCAAAGAAGGCACACTGGGGTCTGAATTCTTTATCACTGGGCTAATTTCTACCTCTGCACCTCAGCTTCCCTATCCATAAGATGGAGATAATCATACCTACCTTCATGATACTTTACAATCCACACAAATAATATTGCAAGATATATCTAGGTGCTTTACAATATTAGCTTTCTTCCAGTTTCTCATTCTTAAAAGGTAGGCTATTACAGCCCAAAAGCAATTTGCATAACTAATCTACCTTTAAAAATTTGAGATTATGTGTCAAGCAAGACAATATAAATCTCCAATTACAAAAACAATAAGGTAACTGTGTTCTTGAGCTTGTAGGATGACCATGAATTAAGGAAAGATTTGGATGGGTCATAAACATTTTAGTTGGGGGGCTATGAAGCAGGGAAGTCTTGGAAGTCAGCAGCTTATAAAATTGTCCAAAAGTCCCAAAGGTCAAGTCCTCTTCAAAGTCACTGTCTTTCCCAAGACAAAGGCCAAAGAGCTCATTAGTACCTAAACCCAGCTCTATGTCAGGCGAGAACGAACCTCTCCCTAGGCCCTGCTCAGGCTGGCCCAGAAGAGCATGGGGGACTCCGAATATTCCATTTATTAACCTCCAAATCTAACATAATTAAGAGCACTCCACAAGTGTTTTAAGAGAACCTTGACCTTGCTCCCACTGCTATGCTCACTGAAGTCAGCTTGCTTCTGTTTCTGTAGCCTCTGTATCTGTTTTCTGAGAAGCTAAGAGGACTTCACGTGCCCGTTTCCTTCGCAGTCTCTCAGCATTTGTGATCATCATAGGATGCAGAGGGAAAAAGCCAGAAAGACCTAAAAGCAACAGGATTTTCATTTATTAATACAGTACAAGCCAATGTATCCCTGGGAACTCTGCCTCACAGAACTGAGGCCTGAGACCTGACCCAGAGCATGGATGTAAAACATGCTTCTCACTTGCCAAACTCTGCCCTACCTCTTCACCCAACTTCCTCTTACCCATTTACTTCAAGGACACAGTGGATATCTACTTCCTTTTACTATTCTCCTTACCTGAAAAGGTAAACTGACAGACGGCCATTCAAGACACACTACTCTCATTTTTAGCATAAAATCTTAGTCACCCAGAAAGGAGTCCACAAAAGAGGTCTCCAGATTCAAAATGGCAGTTAGATCATAGCTTGTTTCCACTCCAGTCCTGAACAGGCTGGAGGGAATAAAAATCTTTCTTGATTCTCATTATCCTGGAGCTGACTTCAGTTTTAAATCCCCTCAATGAGATAGAACGAGAGCTGAGTTACCCAGCAGCTTTTCCATAGGCTTAGAGAGGTGGGCTCCACAGCCAATCCAGTACCGGATCCTGTCCAGGTTGAGGGCAACGAGCTTTTCTCCATGACTGTTGGGCAGTGGGTCATAGGAGCCCAACTGCTCCACGAAGCGGCCGTCTCGGGGACGCTTGTTGTGAACAGCCACAATGCGGTAGAAAGGCCGGTTGGTGCAGCCACCCAGGGCAAGGCGGATCGTTAAGTGGCCTCCACGGTAGGCCTTGCACAGGTGGGCAGCTGCGGAGAAATAACTGGTTAGGACAAAAGAACCGCGGGCACAGAATGAGCAAAACGAGGTAGACGAAACAATTCCCTTTTCCCATTAAATGTCCTCGCTTCCAATCTGTTCTTGCCAACCCGGCTTAGATCGCGCCTTCTTTGTGGAACTCCTCTTATCCACTCTAGTCAGAGTGTCCTCTTCCTCATCCCCAAATCCATTCCGCACAGGCCCGCCATGTACGAGCCCTACGGCCTTGTCGGAGACTTTGTCGCCTCACGTGTAAAATGAGATGAGGGCTTCGGCGAAGATTACGTGGGAGAGGACTGAGAGGAGGGCCAAATGTCAGGCAGTGTGGGTGTCTCGTGTGCCCACTGCATCCAGAGCGCCGAGGAGAGCGCGCCCCACTCGGTCCCCACGCCCCGGCCCCGGCGACCGCCCGGAAGGCCTAGCGGGGCCCCGAAGACTCACTGAGGTGGACCATGGTGCAGCTGCCGTGCGGCTCCTCGGAGCGTCCCGCCGCCCGCGAGGGCCAGCTCTACGCCTCGGGCGGGACGCGGGACAAATGCAGACGGTCGGCGACACCGCCCGCCGCCCGCCGCCAACCGCCCGCCGACCTCACTGGGCCTCACTGGCCGTTACCCGAAAGCCTCGGCTCCGGAAGCGGATGGTCCGCTGGCCCCGCCTCTGTACTTCCCATAATGCAACACGGTGACGCCGAACGCGCCTTAAGCTGGAGCGAAGGAGCCGCGGTTCAGTTGTGGTCGCGAGGGGGTGGCGGGGGTGAGTTCTGCTGGTGCGCGAGGCCCTGCTGGGGCGCCGGGTGCTGGGAGCGCGCTAGGCGCGCCGAGAGAGGTGCTGAGCTCCCGCAAGTCCGTCCGTCCGTCCTCCGCACGTATCTTGAGCACTCGTTAGGGCCGAGGAGCAGTACTGAGAACGCAGATTTGAAAGGGCGCGTTCCTGCCTGAGGGAGTTCACGGTCTGGAGGGGAGACGGCGACGTTCCACCAGAGAAGCCAGTTAGGGGCGGTCTGGGCGCTGTGCAGGCGGAGCAGAGACGGTGAACCTCATACGTCCTCAGGAAAACTTCATGACAGAGGGAGCGTCAGGGCCGAGACTAGCAGGACTGTAAATGAGTTTGCTTTTGTTTTTCTCTGTTTACTAATTTGCTTCTATTCTTTCCAGCCCATGGAGGCAATCACACCTTAAAAAAGTAAAGGAGGGGAAAACTTTATTGCTGCTCTTGCTGCGATCCAGGGGGGCAGGGGTGAGGTATGATTTGGCATCTGTCCCTAGAATACAGCCTCAGTGGTGAGGAGTTACGCATTGTTTAGATTCATGAAGATACTTTTACCAGGAGACCATCCCTTGGAGAGCCCAACCAAGACGAGGATAGAAGGAAAAGGTTTTATTACTTGCAGGTAAGCAGAACACTGGGATAGCTCCCGAAGCAGTGTCTCTCTAAACAAGGGAAGGGTCATGTAGCCAAAGTTCCCACCTGATTTCCTGCCCAAGTTCTCATTTAGGTGCTTTCATGTAAACGAAGGATGCAAGTTCAATTTGGATTGGTTGACTATAGAACATAGTTCATTGCCAAATTTGCATTTGGACCTGGAAGGAATGTGGCCTTTGGCAACATTTGGGCCTCAGGAAGTGGTCACATGGGCTGAACCTTGCTCCCTCAGCTAGTACAGGTTACAGCCCACAGGTGGAGAATTGAGATTTCCTGTAGTGGCTGACTCATGACATCTAAAATAGGGACAGATAGGTGTGGAGGTCCTGTCTCCTCCTTGGACAGCAGGTCACCAAAGATCATCTCTGGGGCCGTTAGTTCAGTTTCAGCCAATATATTTTGAAGGCAGTCTAGTATTTCATGGTTCGTGACTTCTGCTGCCTCTTGCAACAACAGAAACTCAACAAAGTGTAATGGCTGGTTTACTTCCTGTTTTGAACTTTTTAGTGGCAACGACTGCCTGGGCATTTAGGAGACCCTGGACCCTAGGTTACAATACCAATAGTTGGTTAAACAGAGTAATACCTCCACCTTCAGCGAAGACCTCTTTTCAGCTTCTCTGTTGGTTTCAAAGGGCTTGGCCACAACTACTAATATGCTCTTTGCCCTAATACAGTGACCCAGCAAAGCAGTCTTCCTCTAGGTCCACCTTTGAAAAATGATGCCTTAATTCCCAAGTTCCAGTAAGTGAACCAAGCCAGGTACTTCAGCAGCTGACTTCCTCCAAGGGTGATCAGATAAGCTTTCATTAGAAACCCTAATAATGACCCCATTATATCTTAATTTTATTTACATATATAATTATATAGTTATGTATAGTTACTTTTATATAATATATATAAATTATATTTATATTATAAAAATCAACATTTACAATATTAAAAAACTTTTTATATAATTATTTTTATATATAATTATATACCTATATATAACTCAGTATACCTTAATTAACTCCAGAACCACACTGATGAATTTTGAGTCTCATTTCTATTTTTTATTGCGATCCAGTTTACTGACATCCAGTAAAACATCCAGTAACATAGCCAATGGAAATAAATTCATGGGTTTCTATTTATAGTGAAGATTCTTTTGTTCTCCAGCTCCAGGCTTCATATGGTGAGACTTTCTCTGGGAAAGAAAGAAAGCTCAGAGTCCCATACAGAAAATTCTTCAGCTCGAAGGATGTCAGAAAGATGGATTTCCAAAGCCAACTGTCTCCTGTACCATGTGGATCTCTGCTAGCAGAGCTTCATCTTTCAATTTCAGCTACATGAGAGTGGAAGAAAGGGAAGGAAACATGTCATACCTGATATATCTAAGTGTCTTTGAAGACCCCTCATTTGTGGGGCCACAGCTAAAGTTCCTTGAATGGAATTGGCTCTTCTTATATTCCCTATTTCATGGAAACTCCATTAAAAGACCTTAAGGACATTGTGCTGGTTACATGGATATGTTTACTTTGTAAAAATTCATCAAATACTGTGAAAACTTATGACTAGTACATTTTTTGTAAGATAATTTGATAAAGTTTATTTTTAAAAGTGTTCACATTATCACCAACATCTCTTGGTTAATGTTTGGCAAGTAACAGTAAGACACAAGAATCATACACCTACGAAGTTTCAAAAAGTTCATGGAAAAGTAGAATTAAAAGATAATATGATTTTTTTCATCAACTTTTGAAGTACCCTCATATTAGATCTGAATTTTAAAAATATAAATGTGTAATAAAGACATCTAGTAGCCTACTGAATACCCATTCTCTCTTATTAACAAAATCTTAAATTCTTTTCAGGGCAGCAGTGTAATCAGCTAAAAAGCCACATTTTCCTGCTTTCCTTGCAGATAGAGATAATTATATGACCAGCTGTGACCAATGAAATGTATGCTGAAGTCATTGGTGGGACACCTGGGAAAGCTCTTTAAAGGGAAATGAAATAGATGTAGTATGGTCCCTTTTTCCTTTCCCTCCTTTTCTTCTTTATCTTGCCTGAATTATAGATATGGTGGCTGGAGTGACATTGGCTGTCTTGCAACTATGAAGGATGGAAACTGCATGCTATAATTGGCAGAGCAGAAAAAGAGGTTGGATCCCTGATGACTTATTTACTTTTATTTTTGGTGGCTAGGCGGCAATGGGATCCAACCCTTGACCTTGGTGTTCTAACAGTGCTCTAACCAACTGACTTAACCACCTGGCCCCCCGATGACTTTAGAGCTGTTGTACAGACCCTGGACTTTTCATTAGATGAGAGAAAACTAAATTGTGTAAACAACTGTCTTTCAAGTCAAATTACTTGTAATTCATAACTAATAGAATAGACCAAGGATTGTTCATGAGACAAATACAGCCTGCCTCTTGTTTTTTGTAAATAAAATTTTATTGGAACCCAGCCATTCATTTATGTATTTTCTATGGCTTGCTTTTGCACTCAAAATGGCAGAGTTTAGTACTTACAACAAGACTGGCCCACAAACCCTAAAATGTCTCCTGTATTGCCCTTTACAGAAAGAGTTTGCTGACTTCTGGACTAGACCAACGCCTTAATTTCACACAGGAGTAAAATGAAGCGCAGAGGGGTTAGCACAATAAGTTAATGACAAAACCAGAACCGTAATTCAGGTCAACTGACTGACTGACTTTCACACTGTCTTTCCATTAGACCATATTCTCTCTAAAGAGGTAGAAAAAAGAACACCCGTGGTAATATGTGGGTTATTACAAACCCAGCAACCCCACGAAATGGCAAAGATGATAAAAGCCTCTAGAAAAATAATTCACATCATGAAATGCTCTAAAGTCCTGAAATAAGCCAGCACCATCCTCCCAGTTTCCCAATGATGCAAGCAAATGACAAAGACATCTGTGTCATACCTTTATCGAGTACTTGTAGGCCTGCTCAGCTTCCAGTTGTCGTCCAGTCTGAAAAAAGTACAGTAGCTGATGAGGATGACATGTCATAAACATTATGATGGGGGAAGTATATTGCCTCAAATGTTTCTACCTAAGGCAGAGGATTCTACACCTTCCCAGTGAAGAACCTCTGAATTCAAAGGGGAAGAAGGAAAATGAAAAGTGGTAGGGAAAAGCAGATATTTAAAAAAAAAAAAATCCCTCCATTTTAAAAAGCTTAAGGACAGCTTGGACTCCCATTTTTTTCTGAAAGCACCATGAGTCATTTGTTCCTTTTAGAATTGAAGCCATTCTGTTAATAATTGTTAACACTGTATATAAAGTGCTTACAATGTGATTTACATTGTGTTCATTTGTCAGTGTTGTTTTAAATGCTTTACATGTTCATTCCTAATCCTCAAGACCTAGGTGATAACTACTATTATTTATCATTCCTGGTTTACAGAGAGAGAAATCTAGGCACAGAATGGATAAATATCTTGCCAAGGTTATGAAACTAGTAAGTTGAAGTCCCAGGTTTTGAAACAATGCAGTTTATCTTCAGAGTCCAAGTTTTTAACTACTACACTTTATCCTGTCTCTATGCTTTAGAAAAAGTAGATATTGGAATCACTTCCATACAGATCTGGATGTGAGATGAGAACACCAACTGCTCCTCCCGGTTGATATTCCTTGCAGTCCTCCAGGAGTTAAATGAAATTATATGTATGTATTATTATACTTCACAAGTTTGTACACAACAAATTAGTAAAAGTATGCAAAGCTTAAATATGAGAACCACGGAATATTTTTCTTGGCTAGATATAGAGAAGTGGAATTGCTGGGACATATGGTAAATGACGTTTAACTTTTTTAGAATCTACCAAACTTGTTTCCAAAGTGGTTGTACTAATTTATAACCCTAACAGTAATGTATGAGGGTTCTAGTTAATCCACATCCTTGTCAGTACTTGGCATTATCTTTTTGATTTAAGCTATTCTAATGAATGTGTAGTGTGGTGTTAATTTGCATTATCTTAATGAGGTATCTTTAAAAAATCTTTTTGACATAGTTTTGGATTAAAATTACAAGAACAGTTCTCTCTTCTTTCTCTCTCTATGTATTCATATATATGCATATGTATATATGTAAATATATATGTTCACACACACATACATCCATATATATGCTTTAACTTTTCCTGAACATTTGAGAGTAAATTGCAGACATGATGCAATTTTAATACTTTGGTGTATATTTTCTAAAATCAAGATATTCTCTTATGTACCTGCAGCACAATTATCAAAATTAGGAGATTTATACAGATAGAATATATTATCTAGTCTACAGACCTTATTCAGATTTTTTCCAATTGTCCCAGTAATGTCCTTTATAGCAAAATAAAATTGAGGATCATGCATTGGATTCACTATTCCTGTCTTCAGTTTTTTAAATCTGGAATAGTCCCTGAGTCTTTGTGTTTCATGGAATTGGCCTTTTTTAAAAGTACAGGACAGTTATTTTGTAAAATATTCCTCAATTTGTGTTTGTCTGTTGTTTCCTCATGATCATATCAGGTTCTGAATTTTTGACAGAAATGCCACAAAAATGCTTTGTTCAATCATCAATCAGTGTATTGTATCAGGAAGCAAATGCTGTTTATCCCAATACTGGTAATGTTAACTTTGATCATTGGTTTAGCGTGTTATCTGCCAGGTTTCTCTACTATAATACTACTATTTTCCCCTTTGTAATTAACAAGTATTTTGCGGGGAGATACTTTAATACTATGTAAGTATCCTCTTATTCATTAAATTTTCACCCATAGTACACTGGTGATTGTTCACTGAATCTATTATTATGATGGTTTCCAAAGTGTGCCTTTCTAATTCCATAACTCTTTATGCATTTATTAGTTGGACTACTCTAAAGTTTCCTTTCTCTACCATTTATTTATTTGTTTAGTTCTGTTACTGTGGGCTCATAGATTCTTACTTGTAATCCTTTTCCACAATTATTTATTTTGATGCTCAAATTATCCCAGATTTGGCCAGTGGGAACCCTCTTTAAGCTATTCCTGTCTTATTTTTTTCCCTGTGTCTTTTTGACATATCCCAATTTTTCTTAGAGCATTTTTACTTTCTGATTCAACAAGACATTCTAGACTCATCTTTTACTTTCCACAGTTCTGGAATCAGCCATTTCCAAGAAGTCTCTGCCTGCTTCCCTACCTTTTTTTTTTTTTTTAACCGGACAAATGCCCTTGTTCCTTATAATGGATTTAGAAACTAAGACCTGAGCACTACACATGCTCATGGCCCCTGCATGATTTATTTTGAATAGAGATATATATATACACACGCACATATATATATATATTCTATATAGATACACACATATATTTCTATATACCTGTATATATCTACATCTGTTTTATCAAACCAATGAGCTATCATGTCAGTATCTCCAATTCTAATCCACCACTACAATTACATTTCCATCCTCTGTTTTCATATTTGTAACTCCGTTCTCTGACAGGGGAAAGCATGGCTCCCATTATCCACAATATAAACATTTATTTAGTAAATCATAGAATATTTAATAATTTCAGAACTGCTAACTCATGCCTCTGCAAAAAAGAAGCCTACAAATTAGATTTCAAAGTTTGTATAAAGGTTTTTTCTCCTTCGCCTGATATATAGTATATATTAGTATATATTTCAAAGAATGTTTTCAAAAGCATCCTGAGTTATTTTTTCCACCTTCAGTGTGATTAGGTTATTCATTTGAAATAGTTTTGTTTCTGTTCGTATTCAATTATGTGGCCTCCCCATTTTTTGCTGATTTTATTTCTTTTCTTTCTCTCTTTTTTTTTAAACGAAACATTATTATGGTCTCAAAAGTCAGAATTCTACAAAAAGGTACAATGACAGAATGTCACTCCCCTCATTTCCTCCCTCTTTCTACCCCATGCCCACTCACATCCTATAGAACCTGTTCTCATTAATTTCTGGTTTACCTTTCCTGTGTTTCTTTTTGAACAAAAGAGCAATTTGTGTATATATTTTTTATTTTTCCTTCTTTCATATACAAAAGGTGGTATAATCTTCCACTTTACTTTTTCACCTAACAATATATCCTGGAAACACTCCACATGAGTTCATACAGATTATCCTCATAATTTTTTTTAGCTCTATTACGTGGTTATACAGTAGTTTATTTAAACATCATCCTATGTATGGACATGAGTTTATTTCCAATATTTTGCAATTGCTATAATGCTTCAATTAATAACCTTGTGCAATGCATTTTTGAATTGTTGGAGGAAGAGCTTCAGGGCAAATTCCTAGAAAATCCCAAATATTTTAAAATCTAATCAAAACCTAAGTTTTCATATATATGTGAAACTTATATGTCTATCAGTTCTGTTCCATTTATCTATTCCTACATGATATGGGTTGACTGTCCCCTTCAAAGCTCATCTGAAAGAACTGATCTACACTGTGGCAGTGTTGAAAGATGGGGCCTTTAGGTGATTAGATTGTGAGAACCGTGCTCTCATAAATAGATTAATCCATTCATGGAGTAATGGATTAGTGGCCTAGTGGATTGTTACAAGAAGGGCACTGGTGGCTTTATAAGGAGAGCAAGTGAGCACGTTAAAATGCTCATGCCACACTCACCACGTGATACCCTGAGTTGCCACAGGACAGTCCTTGCCAAGAAGACAGCCCTCACTGGATGTGCCTTGGACTGTGGACTTCCTAGCCTCCCAAAACTATAGAAGTAAATTTCATTTCTTTATGAATTAACCAGTTTCAGGTATTGAGTTATAAGCGACAGAAAACAAACTAATAAACTACACTAATACCATTGAGTTTTAACTATTAGAGCTTCGTAATTAGGCTTGGTATTGAGTAGAACAGCCCTCCCTCTTTATTCCTCTTTCCATATTGCCATAGCTATTTTTTGGCCTTTATTCAGCTAAGTGAATTTTAGGATTTATTTCAAGTTCCTTAAAAAACTATGTTATTATTTTTATTGAAATTGCACTAAATTTAGATATTAATTTAGGGATAATTTCATCTTTATGTTATCAAAGTTTCCTGCCTATAGACATGGTATATCTCTCTAACTATTAGATCTCCTTTATTATAATAAAGTTTTATAATTTTCTCCACACAGGTCTTGAAATAGGATTTTTAAAATTAGACTTTCAAATTGCTTGATTTTGGTGATATCTGATTTTAATGATACTGATTTTTTTATATTGGTCTTTTATCCAGGAACATTGCCAAATCTACTTTGTGTTAATATTGATTGAATATAAAATACATTATATGATTCAAAAATCAAAAGGATATAGCTAGACATTGAGAAATTTTGCTTCCACCCCTCTCCCTACCTACCCTGTTCCCCAAACCCTGCCCCCATCGTTTTTTGTCTACCATCATTTTTTGGCTACCCTTTTGGTACTGATCCCTCTTATCACATCTTTCAATTTGTTTGTAGATTTTCTTGTGTTTCTACCTAATCCTTTTACATCCAGTTCCTTGTGTGTGTGTATATATGTGTGTTAGTTCCTTGATGGAACCTCCCATATAGTGTAGGATGTAAGTGATGATAATAGGTATCCTTGTCTTGTTCCTGACTTCAGAGGGATGCTTCTGACTTTTCACCATTTCATATAATAGTATAGATTTTGGAAGACATATTTTCAGATTTTATAAAAGCTAGTTTGCTTTTTTATTTTTTAAATCATGAATGGGTATTGAATTTAGCCCATGATTTTTATTCAGTCTCCAAGGAGGTGAATGACCTCTATGATGAAAACTATAACACTTAGAAGAAAGAAATTGAAGAGGACATAAACGAATGTTAAAATGTCCCACGTTCATGGATTGGAAGAACTAACATTGTTAAAATGGCTATTCTACCCAAAGCAATCTACAGATTTAATGCAATTCCTATTGAAATAGCAATGACATTCTTCACTGAAATAGAAAAAACAATCCTAAAATTCATACGGAGCCAAAAAGGACCCCAAATACCCAAAGGAATCCTGAGAAAAATGAACAAAGCTGGAGGTATCACACTACCTGACTTCAAACTATACTACAAAGCTACAGTAACCAAAACTACATGGTACTAGCATAAAAACAGACACATAGAGGGCCGGCCCGTGGCTCACTTGGGAGAGTGCAGTGCTGATAACACCAAGGCCCCGGGTTCGGATCCCATATAGGGATGACCGGTTCGCTCACTGGATGGATTAAAGATTTAAATGTAAAACCCAATACTATGAAATTACTAGAAGAAAATATAGGGGAAATGATCCATGACGCCAGTGAGCGAACCGGTCATCCCTATATGGGATCCGAACCCGGGGCCTTGGTGTTATCAGCACTGCACTCTCCCAAGTGAGCCACGGGCCGGCCCTCTATGTGTCTGTTTTTATGCTAGTACCATGTAGTTTTGGTTACTGTAGCTTTGTAGTATACGTGGTGCTGACAACACCAAGTCAAGGGTTAAGATCCCCTTACCGGTCATCTTTTAAGAAAAAAAAAAACAAAAAAAAAAAACAGACACATAGACCAGTGGAATAGAATAGAGAGCCCAGGAATAAATTCATGCACCTATATTCAACAGATCTTTGACAAAGGTGCCAAGAATACATATTGGGGAAGACAGTCTCTTCAGTAAATGGTGCTGGGAAAACTGGATATCCACATGCAGAAAAATGAGACTAGACACCTACCTCTCACCATATACAAAAAATCATTTCAAAATGGATTAAAGATTTAAATGTAAAACCCAATACTATGAAATTACTAGAAGAAAATATAGGGGAAATGATCCATGACATGGGGCTGGGCAAGGATTTCTTATATAAGACTTCAAAATCACAAGCAATAAAAGCAAAAATAGACGAGTGGGATTACATCAAACTAAAAAGCCTTTGCACATCAAAGGAAACCGTTATCAGAGTTAAGAGACAATCTATAGAATGGGAGAAAATATTTGTAAACTATACATCTGACAAGGGGTTAATATCAAGAACATGTAAGGAACTTAAACAACTCAACAGAAAAAAACAAATAGCCCAATTGAGAAATGGGCAAGGATCTTGACAGACATTTCTCAAAAGAAGACGTACATGAAAAAATGCTCAACATCACTAATTATCAGGAAAATGCAAATCAAAAACCACAGTGAGATACCACCTCACTCCAGTTTGAATGTCTATTATCAAAAAGACAAAAGAAAACAAGTGTTGGCAAGGATGTGGAGAAAAGGGAACATAAGCACACTGTTAGTGGGAGTGTAAAATAATACAGTCAATATGGAAAACAGTATAGAGGTTCCTCAAAAAATTAAAAATAGAACTACCACAGGTACCATAGTAGTACAGTCTCAGTACTGGGTATGTACCGGAAGGAAATGAAGTCATTATGTTGAAGAGATATCTGCACTTCCATGTTTATTGCAGCTCTACATACAATAGCCAAGATAAGAAATCAACCTAACTGTCCAACAATGGATGAATGGATAAAAGCAATGTCGTATATATACACAATGGAATACTATTCAGCCATTAAAAAGAATGTTAGGGAGAACAGGGAGAGCCTGGCCAATGGGTACAAAATTATGAATTGGAGGAATAAGTTCTGGTGTACTATTGCACAGTAGGGTCACTATGGTTAACAGCTAGAAGGGAGTCTGTTAAATGGCTTTGCCACAAATAAATGATAAATTCATGAAGGGATAGATACATTAACTACCCTGACCTGATTATTATACAACATACACATATCAAAACATCACATTGTACCCCATACAATCTGACATGTACAATGGGTCAATTAAAAAAATTTTTAAAATGCAGATGCTAAAAAACAAAGAAAACCAACCAGCTCATGATTTTGTTAATCCTTTCTATTATCTCTTTTTTTAAATTTTAATTTATTTCTATTCCTTATCATTTTCTCAATTATCACTTCTTTGGGTTTCCATGTTCTCCCTTTATTATTTTCTTCATTAAGTGATTAATTTATTGATTTTCAATCTTTGTTTCTAATATATGTATCTGAAGCTATAAAATACCCTCTGTATATTGCTTTAATTTTATCCTATAGTTCTAATATATAATAGCTTTGTTTTTATTCAGTCTCATTTCATTGATCTACTGAAAAATAACATACCACCCCAAAACTTAATGGCTTAAAACACAATATACTATTTCTCAAAAATTCTGTGAGCAATTTGGGCTGGTCTTTCTTGAGGTCACTCATGCAGTTATTGTCATCTGACGATTTAGCTAGGGCTGGAGTGTCCAATATAGCCTTGGACACTTGTACCCATATAGCAATTGGTGTTGGTTGGGTTGGTTCAATTCCCCTCTATGTGAACTTCAAGCCTGCTACAGGCTAAACTGGGCTTCTTCACAGCATGGTAGTCCCAGAATTTCAAGAGAGCGACAGCAATTGATACAGGGCCTCCAAAGGCGTAGCCTCTGAGAATTCACAAAATGTCACTTCCATCATAGCCTCCTGGTCAAAGAAAGTCACAAGTTCAGCTCAGATTCAAGGGGGTGGAGAGATGAAAAAGAGACTCCATCTTTTGCTGGGAGGGAGTGGCAACATCACATTGCAAAAGGTGTGGACATGAAAGCATAATTAAATGGTGGCCATTATTATAAAAATCTACAAGGCCTGTATTAGTTTTCTATGGCTATGCAACAAATCACCACACACTTAATGGCTTAAAAACAATAGCCATATATCATATCACATTTTCCCCAGATCATAAGTCTGGCACTGTCCAACTGGTTCTCTGCTTAGGGTCTTACAAAGCAAAACAGAGGTATCATCTGGGCTGGGCTGTTACCTGAAAACTATGGAGAAGGATCTACTTCCGGGCTTATTTATGTTGTTGGTAAAATTCAGTTCCTTGTATATGTAGGATGAAGGTTCCTATTTCTTTGCTGGCTCTCAGCAGGAACTGCTGTTAGCTTCCAGAGGCCATCCACATTCCTTGACCTGTGGTCTTTCTCCATTTTCAAGACAGCAATGGTGTGTTGACTGCTTCCTGTGCTTCAAATGTCTCTGACTTCCTTTTCTGCCTCCCCCCTCCCCCAAATACTCTGTGCTTTTAAAAAATTCACCTGATTGTGTCAGGCCCACCCAGATAATCTCTGAATTCTAAGGTCAACTATTTGGGAATTTACTTACATATACAAAATCCCTAAACACTTTAGAGTAGTGTTTGATGGAATAATCTTGGAGGAGGGACACATCTTTAGGATTCTACCTAGCATAAGATCTCATACTTGAAGTTGTCGTATGATTTCCTCTTTGACCCATGAATTTATTGCAAGTATGTTTTAAGTTTCCAAATGTATATGAGTCTTTTACTTCAGTATGATCTGAATGTATCTGTTGAGCCTCTCTTTGAGGTCTAGCATGTGATCAACTTTTATGAATAACTCATTTGTACTTGGAAAAAATGTGTCTTCTAATTGTTAGGGAAATGAGAAAAGATAAAAAGTAAATAAAATGTGTCCTCTAATTGTTAAGTGCAGAGTTCTGCATTGGTGTTTGAACTTGCCTCTGTTAATTGGGTTATATATCTGTATATATTCTTATTTTTTTCCCCCTATTTCACCTGTCAGTTTCAGAGAGAAGTATATCAAGATCTTCCATACCGAACCCTTTAGTTTAAAGACAAGTAAACTGAGGCCCAGTAAGGTTAAGTGACTTGGCCTGGATCTCACAGCTAAGTTGGAACAGAGCTGGGGTGAGAACTCAGGGATTTCTCACAATGATATTTGGGATATTTACTCCAAAGTGAAAATCCAGTAGTTTTTATTTTGTTCATTTCTCATAATCATAATACTCCCTATCAATTTGGTGTCATGTTGGCCAATGGAAAACTGAGGGCTGCTCTCATTATTACCAATTTGATCTTAGACTAATGTGCAAGTTATTTAAGTCTAACTATATGAAGGTTATTTTTTTTAACAGGTAAAGCACCTATTACAAACTCCCATAATATCCCCCACCCAATTTCCCCACCCAATTTCAAAGACAAGCACTCTCAGCCAGCAGTTCAACAGGAAGAAAGGATTCAGAAAGACTAGTAGAGCAACCCCTTTGCTGATCCTTGACCTGGTTTATGTTCTGATACAATATTGCTCCCATTTTTAGAACTTCCTTTCCAGCAAAACACACCTGAGTATATGACTTTTAAGCACATTCCAAGTAAAGGCTGCCCAGAGTTGGCTTTTCCTTTGTCATCAGTATAATGACCAAATCTAGAGCTCGTCAAACTTCAATGGGCCGAGCCCGTGGCACACTTGGGAGAGTGCGGCGCTGGGAGCGCAGCAGCGCTCCCACCGCGGGTTCGGATCCTATATAGGGATGGCCGGTGCGCTCACTGGCTGAGCCCGGTGCGGCCAGTCTCAAAAAGGACAAAAAAAAAAAAAAAAGAAAAGAAAAGAAAAAAATAAAAACTTCAATTATCATGTGTTAATGGCCATTCACTGTCTCTTGCTTATGTGGACCCTCACCTTAATGCCCTAAAAGGGCATTTTGTAAGGATAATAAACACTCACCTTCAGGCAGACCAGAGCCAGATATGCCCATACTTCAGCACTGTAGTTGTTCAACGCATTGGCTTCAGAGAGCGCATCCTCAGCCTCCGTGAGCTCCTCCAGCTTGGCAGAAAAGGGAGATGTGTGAGTTTAAGTCAAAGTAGTTTTCACTTCAGCAAGCTGGAGTGGGCTGAGCTGAAATCATTATTTTTAAGTCATACTGGTATACATGGCCTACACCAGTGATTTTCAACTTTTTATTTTTAGCATCAGAACTCTTTCTTCAAACAATATTTTATGTGGTGGTACAATATACGAACTGTGAAAGAAAATGAATTAATTAAGGCTAAGGCTTTAAAGTGGAGTTGGGAGACTGCAAGAGGACTGCACTCACACCTGCTAAAGTTCAAACCACTTGATGTTTCAATGAAAGGATAATAACCGAAGTCAGTATCTTCCGGCCTTCAACATCTCTCAGCTGGAAGTACTTTGATGTGCTAAACAACTAGAATGGGTTTACGATTCAGGATTTCTGTGCAATGAACTGCCTCCAAGAATAATCTTTCATGGAAATCCCCAATTAAAAAAAACCTTTCCTGTGCTTGCCTTATGGAACTATTCAGGGCTGTTCTGATTCGGTGTACCTGAATTGTGATTTTTTAAAAAATTATAAAACAATTTTATTGAATGAAAAATAGTTTGTGGACTATTTTGAAGATACATAAACATATAAAGAAGGGAAAAAAATCACCCACTCTCCTGTCTCTAAAAGATAACAGTTTTTGGCATTTGGGTATGTTCCTTTTTTTTTTCTTTCCATGTATTTTTTAATTAAGACATAATTGATTAGACATATTTATGGGGTACAGAGTTGGCTATCAGTATTTGTGTACAACATATGATGATCAAATCAGTATTGTTAGCATGTTCTTCATTACAAATCCTAATTATGCTTTGTGTCCATTTACCATTTTCTCCCTTACCTCCCTCCCCTTCCCTCTTTCTAGTGGAAAGATCTGTTCTCTTCTTCTTTAAGTTCAATGTGTTATTGTGGTCTTTCTTTGTCATGTTCTTTTTTTTCTCTCACTTATGAGTGAGCACATGTGGTATGTCTCTTTCTGTACCTGGCTTATTTCACCTAACATAATTTTCTCCAAGCTCATTCATGTTGCTGTGAATGGCAGAATTTCATTCTTTTTTAGGGCTGAGTAGTATTCCACTGAGTACAGATACCATTTTCCTTCCTGTCATCCATCAAAGGACATTTAGGTTGGTTCCATATCTTGACTATTGTAAATAGGGCTGTGAGGAGCATGGGAGTGCAGGTATCCCCTGACATGATAATTTCCATTCCTTTGGTTACATACCCAGAAGTGGAATTGCTGAATTGTATGGTAGATCTATCTGTAGTTGTTTGAGTAACCTCCATACTGTTTTCCATAATGGCTGTACTAATTTACAGTCCCACCAACAGTGTAGAAGAGTTCCCTTTTCTCCACATCCTGACCAGCCTTTGTTATTTTCAGTCTTTTTGATAATAGTCAGTCTAGCTGGAGTGACATGGTATCTCAATGTGGTTTAAATTTGCATTTCCCTGATGATTACTGATGTTGAACATTTTTTCATGTACCCACTGGCCATTTGTATGTCTTCCTTTGAAAAATGTCTATTCAGCATCTTTTCCCATTTTTTAATTGGATTATTTGGTTTTTTACTTTAAAGTTGTTTGAGTTCCCTGTAAATTCCGGATATTAATCCCTTGTTGGATGTATAGATTGCAGATATTTTCTGTGATTCTATAGGTTGTCTTTTCACTCTGTTGATTGTTTCCTTTGCTGTGCAGAAGCTTTTTAGTTTGATATAATCCCATGTGTTTATTTCTTCTTTTGTTGCTTAAGCTTTTGGGGTCTTATTCATATAGTCCTTTCCCAGTCCTACATCCTTAAGTGTTTCTCCTATATTTTCTTATAGGAGTTTTATAGTTTCAGGTCTCTAATCCATTTGGAGTTGATTTTGGTATATGGCGAGAGGTATGGGTCTAGTTTCATTCTTCTACACATGGATATCCAATTTTCCTTGCACCATTTACTGAAGAAGCTATCTTTTCCCCAGTGTATGTTCTTGATGCCTTTGTTGAAGGTCAGTTGGCTGTAAGTATGTGGGTTGATTTCTGGGTTCTCTATTCTGTTCCACGGGTTCATGTGTCTGTTTTTATGCCAGTACTATGCTGTTTTGGTTACTATAGCTTTGTAGTATAGTTCAAAGTCAGGTAGTGTAATGCCTCTGTTTTTTTTTCCCCCCCTCAGGATTGGTTTGGCTATTTAGGGTCTTTTGTTGTTCCATATGCATTTTAGGATTTTTTTTTTCTATTTCTGTGGAGAATGTCATTGGTATTTTGATGGGGATTGCATTGAATCTGTAGATTGCTTTGGGTGGTATGGACATTGTCACAAAGTTAATACTTCCAATCCATGAACATGGAATGTCTTTCTGTCTTTTGGTATTCTCTTTAATTTCCTTCAGCAGTGTTTTGTAGTTCTCATTGTAGAGATATTTCGCCTCTTTGGTTAAATTTATTCCTAGGTATTTTATTCTTTTGGTAGCTATTGTAAATTGGTTTGCTTTCTTGATGTCTTTTTCTGCTTGTTTGTTGTTGAATAAGAACCCTAGTCATTTTTGTGTATTGATTTTTTCTGCTTGTTTGTTGTTGAATAAGAACCCTAGTCATTTTTGTGTATTGATTTTGTATCCTGAAACTTTACTAAATTAGTTTATGAGCTCTAGGAATTTTTTGGTAGAGGTTATGGGTTTTTCTATATATAGGATCATGTCATCTGCAAACAGTGACAATTTGTCTTTGTCTTTTCCAATTTGGGTGCCTTTTATTTCTTTCTCTTGCCTGATGGCTCTGGCTAGTACCTCCAACACTATGTTGAATAGGAGTGGTGAGAGTGGGCATCCTTGTCTTGTTCCTGTTCTTAAAGGAACAGCTTTCAGTTTTTCTCCATTCAGGATGATGCTGGTGGTGGGTTTGTCATACGTGGCTTTTACTGTGTTGAGATACTTTCCTTCTATACCTAACTTGTCGAGGGTCTTTATCACGAATGGATGCTGAATTTTGTCCAATGCTTTTTCTGCATCTATTGAGATAATCATATGGTTTTTATCCTTGCTTTTGTTGATATGGTGTTTTACATTTACTGATTTGTATATGTTGAACTATCCTTGCATCCCTGGGATGAATCCCACTTGATCATGGTGTACAATCTTTTTGATGTGCTATTGCATTCTGTTTGCTAATATCTTGTCGAGGATTTTTGCATCTATGTTCACCAAGGATACTGGCATGTAGCTTTCTTTTTTTGTTTATGGCTTTATCTGATTTTGGTATCAGAGTGATTCTGGCCTCATAGAATAAATTTGGGAGAATAGCCTCTGTTTCAATTTTTTGGAATAATTTTAAAAGGACTGGTCTTAATTCTTCTTTAAAGGTTTGGTAGAATTCAGCAGTGAAGCCATCTGGTCCTGGGCTTTTCTTTGTTGGGAGACTGCTAATTACTGCATCGATCTCATTGCTTGTTATTGGTCTGTTCAGATTTTGTATTTCTTGTTGGTTCAGCCTTGGTATTTGCATGTGTCCAGAAAGTTATCCATTTCTTCCAGGTTTTAAAATTTGTTGCATACATTTCTTACAGGTGTTTTTCTATGTGAAAATACATACATAAGTCTGCATCTATTTGCAACATGTTCACCACCATATGTCATCATCAGTTTTGTATTCTGTCTTCATATTAAAAATATTTCCCATGATGTTAATATTCTTCCTTTATTTTTGTAACATAGTTGGTTGTACATATCTGTGGGTATAGATTTGAATATCAATACTTGTGTGTAATTTGTGATGCTCAAATCAGGATAATTAGTATATTCAACCTTGTAGAATGTAATCATTTTTCATGTCCCTTTACCAATTTCTCCTGTACCCCCTCCGCTTCCCCCTTTTCCACCTCTGGTAACCTCAGTTCTGTTCTCTCCTTTTAAAAGTTCAACATATTATTATGATTGTTGTATCTTTCTTTCTTTTATTTATTTGTTTATTTTTTAGCTCCCACTTATGAGAGAGGACATGTGGTATTTCTCTTTCTGTGCCTGACTTATTTCACCTAACTTGATTTTCTCTAAGTTCATCCATGTTGCTGTGAATGGCAGTATTTCATTCTTTTATATGGTAGAGTAGTAGTCCATATACACCACATTTTCCCCAATTGCAATTATTTATTTCCCAAATAAATGCTGTTTTTTTAAACCTCTGTGTTAATATTTTTTTTTAGTTAACAGAACCAATTAAAGGTGGAACTGCTCTGATTAAAAGCCAGGTAGGGAAATCTGGAGCCCTACCTGCTAGGCTCTCAAATTATACCCCTCTATTCCTCCTTCACTGTACAGTAGTCCCATCAGGGCATCTATGAACCATGGAGCTTCAGGTGCCAGGGTTGGAAAGCCACAAGCACTCACTATCATGTGTGCATCATTCAGTGATTTCCCCATACACACTGGGCTGTCAGATACATTTTTAGTTTTTTTTTTCTTGACATTGTGCATCCCTTTCTTGAGGTTTAAGTCCAATTTGCCTGTTAAAATACTGTTGTCCAGAAGGCTTCCCTTCCCCTAACATCAGTTATTAACAGCAATCAATACAGTTTTCAGAGACTCTAGGGTGCCCCCTGAGCTACTTCCTAAGACTGTGAGTTAGCTTTGTAAAACTTTCCAAAAGGCTACCGAAGGAAAGAATAAAGCTCTCCCCTCTCTAATAAAGTAGATCATTTTTTCTGTTTTAAAAGAAGATAATGGGTTTCTAGGTCCCAGAAAAGATAAAGACTAGTCTTTCAGCCATGCCCATACATTAAATGTCCATGAGACATTGACTCATTATTAAATCAAGCTACATTTGCTCAGGATTTACTCTGTGTGAGGCAGTATGATAGATACTGAGACTAAAAAGATAAATAAAATACAATCCCTGCCCTCAAAGAACTCACTGACAGGTAAAAATCAAAGTACAGTGAAAAATCAAACATATAAATAGTTCCATCACAGAATAAATAGTTCTATAATAAAAGCATATGTATGTATATGATCTAGTGGAGGGACAAATGAAATAAAGGACAGCCTCAGAGAAGAAACACTGCTAACGTGGATATTGAAGGGCAAGGAGGAGGTTGTTAGCTGCATGAGGTGAAGACAGGCTTCCCAGATACAAGCAATGCATATGCAGAGGCACGGAGGCGTAAGAGAGCACAGCATGCTCAGGGGACTCCTAAGTATGTCTGTGAGGCTGGAGAACACAGAGGGGGGGTGGGCAGAGGGGTGGAGTGTATGGGGGGGGAGGGGAGAAGAAGAGGAAAAGAAAAGATGCGATAAGACTAGAGAGTTAGGCAGAGACCAGACCATATATCCTGTTCAAAGAAATATAAATTTTACTCTGAAACAAGGAGTAGCTATTGAAGGGTTTAAGGAGAGGAGTAACACGGTATTTGCATATTTTAAAAACTACTTTGACAATAAATTGGAAGATGAGTCGAGGGAGGACAAGAGACCACTTTACCAGAGAAAGAGGGGGTGAGGCTTGAATTAAAGAAGTAAAAATAGAGATGGAGAGGGGCCAATAGATTCAAGAAACATTTAGGAGACAAAATCAATAGGATAATTGATGCCTAATTAAAAGTAATGGTAGAAGTCGGTAGGATAGCATTTAGGTTTCTGGCTCAGTTGATTTGGTTCATCACACTCTCATTCACCAGCATAGGGAAGACAGGAGATGGTGTAGGCTTTAAGGGGTGTGAGAATGCTTCAGGGATAAGTTAGGTTATATTTTGGATATGTGCATTTTGAGGTGTGTGAAGAACCACTAAATGGATCTATACATTATGCTATTTGATATGAGCCAGCAGAACTTGAAAAGTGTGAAGAGCTGAAGATTTGGATTCATTGGGACACAAATGGTAATTCAGATCACTGGGATAGATGATACTTCTTAGGGAGAACAAATAAGGTGACAGGAGAAAAGGCTGCCTACAGAACCCAGGAGGTCCCAACAAGTACGGTGGGGAAAAGATGAGAAGCCACAAAAATAAATAAATAAATAAATAAAGGCGAGAAAGAAGTGTCAGAGGGGAAAGTGCAGAACCGGAGGTTGTGAATGCAGTATAGTGGAAGCCAAGGGAAGAGAGAACTTCAGGAAGGAAGTGGTCAACTGGGTGAAGTGCCACAGAGGCTTCATTTAAGTGTCCATCACATTTGACAATGAGGATGTCATAGGGGATTTTTGTTAGGGAAGTTTCAGCAAAGTGGTAAAGGGTAGACGCCTAATTACATTGAAGTGAAGGGTAAACGGGACAGAGAAATAAACAGACAACTTACAAGTAAAGAAATACATATACGACATGATTTCAACTTTATTAATAATAAAATGCAAATTAAGATACCTATCAAATTGGCAAGTGATAATGCCCACTGTTGATGAGATAACAGTAAAATGGACTCACATTATCTGGCAGAGTGTAAATCAGTATACAGCCTTTCTAAAAGGCAAGTTAACACTATAACTTAAAGACTTTAAAAATATTTCTACATTTTAGGAATGTATCCTAAGGAAATAAACAAGAGTTAAGTACAAATATTTATATCTAAGAATGTTTATCTCAGCTTTATTAATAATAGTATAATTGTGGAAACTAACAACATGTCCAATAATATGTGAATTGTTAAATAAATTATGGTATATCAACACATAGTATGACTAAAACACTGATGTGGGGCAAAGATTACTCGGACATCTTAGTGGTACTGCTTAACTGAAGTTTTTTTGTTTGTTTCTATCTTAATGCAAATATTTTTTACAATACTCAAAACAAACAGAAGTCTGACTTACACTGAACAGTATATATAGGGGGTTTCTTGTACTTTTGACAGCGCTGTCAGGTTTCTAACAGCTACAGATGTTTACATCCTTCCTGGGAAGGTGGAGCAGGGGGCACATGGCTTATATATAAGTGACTTCATTCATATGGACTGGTTGGCTCAGGAGAGTCCCTCTGTCCCAGTGTAATTATAATAACACCCTTTTCATTCTCAATGTCCTGGTTTGTATGATAAATTACATGGTCACTCTACCTATGTATCCATACCAGGGAACACCGTGAAGTCATTCAAATTCACGTTTTAGACTATTTGGTGATATGAAAAGATACCGACGCATATTACTAAGTAGAAAAGTGATCACAAAGCAGTAGTTACATTTTATACATTAAAATTGCTTTCATATATGTATGAAAAAAAGACTGGAGGAAAACGCATTCAGATGTTAACAGAGGTTATCACTGAGTGCTGGGATTATGGATACTTTCATGTTTCTTTCATATTTTGTATCTTCCAAATTTTCTGTAATTAATATGTATTACCTTTATAGTTAAAAAACAGCAATGAAGAAGAGGAAGACAAGGAATGTAAAGACCTCTTTTGTTAAGGATAACAGCCAGGAAAGTTGCTGCTGCTGTTAAATGAGAAAGGGAAAAGTATGGAGAAAGCTGGTTGAGAAAGAAAGGCTGAAAACGTAAGTCATGGAGAAAGTAAAAGTTAAGAGAGCAAGGTACTAGGAGAAAAGAAGAGGGGTGGAATCAAGAGTACACATGAAGAAACTAGACAACAGGACGTCTGCCTCTTTTGCAGACTGGAGGAAAGGAAGGCAACGGTGAGTGGAGGGGTTTCAGGAGCGGTGGAGCAAAAGCTTCCATGGAAGCGCCAGCAGCTCCTTTTGCATGTAGATGGGTCACACTGCTGAATAGGTGTCAATCAATTTCTTTAATTTAACTGAGCAGATTTTTCTCTCCCATTTACCTTTTCCTTACAGATAGCATTACAAAAGAGTGTCTGGTATTTTATTATTATTATTATTATTATTATTATTATTATTATTATTATTATTATTATTATTATTATTATTATTATTATTATTATTATTATTATTATTATTATTATTATTATTATTATTATTATTATTATTATTATTATTATTATTATTATTATTATTATTATTATTATTATTATTATTATTATTATTATTATTATTATTATTATTATTATTATTATTATTATTATTATTATTATTATTATTATTATTATTATTATTATTATTATAACATAGCTTACTAGTTCAGTTTTTGTGGGATTTTTTAAAGGATATTATACTTTTCTAGTTCAGATTGAACTTCAGTTCACTGCAAACTTTGAAGAGCAACTTTTCTTTAGAGCAGACTACCCTGATTGCCATCCACCCCCAGGGTGCTCGGAAGACCAAGGAATCAAGGTATGCACAAGCCTAGTTTCAAGGCTTCACTCTCTTACCCGATAGCAAGCAATTCCCAGTCCTAGCCAGGTAAGGCATGAAGGTGATCTCTTACAGGCTTGCAGGTAGGTTTTCTTTGCCTTTTCATACTGTAAAAATAAAGCACCACTAAACTACTGTTTTTCTGGAAGCTTCAAACACTGTAATGCTAAGATAATCATGGGACTTCTGATAGTTGCACTCCAAAACAATATAAGTTAAGTGAGTCCTTGGATTGTATTTTTATACCTACTTTAAGGAAGCTATTGCATGAAGACTGTTAAGAGGAGTAGGACAGATCAAATGAAAGGCAGACTTTCATCTGGAAGCAGATCCTAAGACATTTACAGTCTCTGTAAGAGTTGAGGCAAGGAGTTACACTGAAAGTTCTGGGCAACCACAATGATTATCTGAATTCCATCTAGACTTTATGGACTAACCCCTTTTGCTTAAAAGCGACATCACGTGGTAGGAGGACAGATACCGAATCCGAACTAAGAGATATACTTGATATAGTCTCATCATTCAGGGTGTCTGTTCCTTTGTTATAAAAGGTCTCAGTAGTACAGGAGACATTTAGAAAAACTCAAAAAACAAACTTTCAAAAGAAGTAGCCCTGAAGGGACCATTGCTTGTCTTGTAACTCCAACATGAGAGATGGATCTACAGCTGAGCCTCAGCAAATAGCTTAAGAACTGCTTGCCTAGTGGCTGCCTAAGTCAGCAGCGTTGTGAAGGTGCAGCTTGCAATGACATCAGAAAGAAAACTTCCTGGGGGCCAGCCCGGTGGCGCACTGGATAGTGCGCCGCTTGGGAAGCGCGGCAGCGCTCCCGCCCGAGGGTTCGGATCCCACATACAGGCTGGTTCCCGCTCACTGGCTGAGCAAGGCGCGGGAGCAACACCGAGGGTTGCGATCCCATTGCTGGTCCCCGGTCCGGTACGGGGGCAACACTGAGGGTTGCGATCCGTTGCCGGACACGGAAAAAGACAAAAGACAAAAAAAAAAAAAGAAAGAAAACTTCCTTATTTACTTCACTGCAGCAGGATAGTGACGTCTCTCAAGCCTATGTGAGCCTTCCCACTTACATTAGAAGGCGTAGTAACTTCTTACCATTGTTGTTTTGTATTAAATAAACAGAGAATTCGGTGCTTTGTGGGGGTAAATGAAATGAAATCAAAACAAAAGCATGGAATCCAAAGGCCTTTGGTAGAATGTTGACAATTGTTACAGTGGGCTGATCGGTGTAGTGGATTGAATTATGTCCCCCCAAAACTCACGGAAGCTTGAATTGTGTTCCCCAAGTTTTATGTATTAGAAACTTAGCCCCCACTGTAACTGCTAAGGCTGGGAAATCCTATCACGGTAATTGAAAGGTGGAACCTTGAAGAGGTGATTGGATTGTAGGACTGTGCAGTAGTGAATGGATTAAAAACAGTGGTCGGGGCGTGGTTTTGTGGGCTTTAAAAGAAGAGGAGAGTCTGTCTTTCTCTCTCTCTGCTTCTACCATTTTGCAGTGTGAGACCCCTGGGTCTCTGTAGCCACCACCGGATGGACTTTGGACTTCCCACCCTCAGAAACTGTAAGCGATAAATTTCGTTTTCTTTATACAATACCCAGTTCTGTGTATTTTGTTATAAGCAACAGAAATGGACTAATACAATGGGTCCATGATGGTTCATTCTACTATTCCGTTTACTTTGTAAGTATTTGAAATTTTCCATAATAGAATGTTTTTTACAAAGGCCTTGGGATACTTCCTAAAATATGCAGAGGGATTGCTAAAGAGTCAGGTCAGAGTGCTGTATGGAATGGGATTAGCCTCAGCTAGATTAAATATAACTCTTTGTGTCGAGGAGGAAGTTGGGAGAAATCCTTTTAAAGCCCTTGTCACTTTCTGTTAGTTAAGTCAAGTTAAGAATGTTTCTACTACTGCAAATAAAATAAAGTTTCTACTACTGCTAACAAAATAAAATTTTAGCTAAAATAACATTTACTAAGTTCCTAATAACTTGTTAGTAGCATAATGATTATAACCACAGAATGTGGTACTAAACTGCCTGATTTGGAACCCTGCTTCCACTAATTACTGGTTATCTGATGTTGGGCAAGTCACTTTACCTTTGGATGTAAAAGTGTCTTTATTATATTACTATTTTTAGTCCACACATAGGATGTTAATGCCTGAATTATAATCAGGTCCCAGACCAGGGCCTGATTTATATGGTTCCTCCCCATCTTCTATTCCCCACCTCTTTCTCTTCCAGATAGATGAGCCCCAGTCGCAGGAAGATAAAGTGCATCTCAGAAGCATCCACTACAAAACTAATGGTTCGCTCATAGCATGCCTTGGCCTCAGCATGATTTCCACTCAGAAAATAGAGGTGGCCCTTCAGGCCCCAGACGTTAGGGTTCTGAGAAAGTGAAAAACAAGTCGTACATGAGATGAAGTAGGATTCAGAAGTACCTTAATGACTTTTGTTTAACATTTAAATTTAGATTAAGTCCATTTTCTTATTCTAACAGCACTCAGCTAGAAAGAGAGCCATTTAATGGCACTGGGAGATATTTTCCTAGGCCTGCCCTCTCATTTCTTTCTTGAATTCTTCAAAGCCATTTTTGTCTTTGGGGTAAATATTAAGAAAACACTCAAACATGACCATGATCATGTTCACAATGAGAAATTAGAAGTCTAGAAAATTTGAACTGGACAGAACACTATCTGCTAAAGGACTGTCCATTTTCTCTACCTTTTACAAAATTCATGATTACTTAAGAAAAACAAATGGAAGTGTATAGCTAGATGAGTTTACTGACAGCTAATGACCCCACCTCTGGTACTAGAAATCTACCTGTGATATGGCGCCACCCTCTTTAATAAAGCCTGCTCGCCCCTTCTCTGGACTCAAGAGGCTCTAGCAAAAGTCATTACCAGGTAGTCCATCTGGGCTGCTTGTTGGAGATATTCCTGTGCCTTGGCAAAGTCCTTCTTGAGAAGGTGTGTCTGGGCCAACACCAAGTAATACTCACAGCTGGGGCCTCCTTGAGGGCATAACAGCTCATGTGCAAGCACTCTGTGCACATACTACAAGGAAAATCACATTATAAGGAACATATAAATGGCTGCATTGTGTCAGTCCGATAGCTTTCACAGTTGAAAGATTCTGTCTGTGATAATAAATAATAAGGAATACATTATAGAATAAAATGATTATCCTCAACTTCAAAAAGTTAGGGGTGAATTACAATCAGCAGTTCATGGTTCCATTACCAGCTATTCACTTAGTCACCAAATGTAGACATTTCCAAGTGAATAACCTGCAATATTGCACAATTCTGGTCTTGCTGGTCATCATACTAGGAGAGTGTTAGACTACTTATTATGCAGTAGACAAAGGCACTTCATCAACCACCCAGTTTACACATGGAGTAACATTTTCAGGGAGCTGTCATTGTAAGGAAACTTACAGTGAGGCAAAACCCACCTTTCTAAAATTCTAGACTCGGAATCTTACAAACATAAATGGCTGTCTCCAATGCATCTCCAAACATTCATTATGTTTCCCAGTTTTGTACCTTGGGCTGGTCTTTGTTTTTTACACTTTATAAGACCTACAAATTTGACAAAGTCAGATGTACTTGCTAAGAGGATGGAAAACCCTTCTTTTCTTCTCACTCTGTTCCCATCCCAGCCTACAATGTGGAAACTTCCACTAACACTTACACCTTCTTAGGAGAACACTGCGGGGAGCAACTGCAGCTGTCTACTCTACCTCCCGTCAGGCTTTCTGACCCGGGGGCAATGATGACATTTAACTGGGGACAGAGAGAGGCTGTATCTTTATTGGCAAGGATGAATGTGTTAAAGGCTCCTGCTTAATGTGGCCCAGTCCCACCCAGTTTATAATTCTTGCCCTTTCTTGAGCTTGCCTGCCCTCAAGTGGGGCATGCACCCTGCAGGATCAGGGCCAACTCTCTTGGCTCCTGGATCTCGCCCTCTCTCCTACTGCTTGTTCATGGATAAGCTTCTTGTTTCCCATGTGGTAGGTAGACCTTGTAGGATGCTCCTCCTCTCTGGGAGGAGGCTGCAGTTCTCCAGCTGCTCCACCTGTGACTGCATGGGTAAGTCAAATATGGGGCCAGTCACATTCTCCAGCCCAGTTTTACCAATGAAAATAATTTAATATTTTTATCTCCCTATGTAACACTGCGTATCTGTTTCCAATTAATTCAGAACCTGGAAAGGAAGAAGGGAATGATTAGGTTCCTGTGAACCCTCAACACTCACATAACATGATTTTCCATAATAAAGTGACATCAGGCTATATATGACTTAGAGTCTGACTTTGCTCTGCTGGTATCTTATAGGGAGAAGACTTGCAGTGAAGTCTTCGATGCCATCTGCAGAGAGTGGTTCATGTTTAAATGTTTTACAACTGAATTTAAGGTGTGCTCTCAAAAGCATATTTGATTTCTGTTTCACACATATTTAAGCTTGAAAAGATACCACTATGGACAGAATAAGTAGTTCACTAAAATCTTTCCATCTACTTGCCCTTTTCTAAGTATTCTGACCTGCACAGCATTGACTTTCATCAAGAAGCGTATAGTCTCCATGAAGATGGTGGTAGGAGTTTGGGACACGCCACGGTAAGGGGTGGGATGTAGAAAAACTGGTGAATCTTCACATCTTGATGCTTCTGCAAATATTACATTAAAAGGACAGAATATTATATATGTAAAAGATATATATAAAGGAAAAAATGTCAGAAGCTCAGATACACTAACACAGCAGGGTAAGTATTCTGGTCTAACGCAGGAGAGAAATCATAATCTGAAAAGCAATAGACTGCTCTCTAGCATCGGTCCTCAAAGAGGAGAACTCAAAAATTCTCAAGGTAAATCTACTAGTGCTTCCAAATGCAAGTCACAACCAAATAAAAGGGTTTTTAAAAAAGTATTCAGATCTCCTTGAATGTTAAACACAATTTATAGATATTCTAAAAATGAAGAATCACTAGAAAATCATAGATCTGTAGTTGGCTACTTCTGTTAGCCAAATATAAAATCCTCGCTTATTGAAAGAGTTACACCACTGGGTTTGGATTTCAGGGCCTATCCTAAAATAAAGGAACTTAGCCAATATGACAGGTAAACTAATAAACTTCAAACAAGCCACTCTTACAATCATATACTCATGAGAATTTTCATCCTTATCTAGTTTATTTATGCCCTCTTTCAAGTGGAAATTTTTACTCCTAGTTACCTTTTTTTGCTGGTATCTCCTTTAAAAATACGTTGGATAATTTTAGGCCCATACTCAGGTCCTGAGATTGTGTAGTCAAAATGGGTTCTCGTGACTCAGACTGCTGTTTGGAGGATTGTTCAAGAAATTCATCTGGTACATATAATGTAGCTGCTGTTCCTATATAGATTAAATTTTAATTAAAAAAAACTTTCTACACTGGATATTAAAAAGTTATTACTGGAGATAAAATTTGTAAAGCATAAGAAACATATTCCCTAAATATTGCATGAAAGATAGGCTTATTTGGTAGATTTGCCTATATTTCTGAGTTATTCAAAGAGTACTAAACTGATAGCACAGCTTCTGTCACTGTGACCCCTCCCAGTACAACCTTGCTGCTAATTCAAGTTGTGATAATGTCAAACACATCCCTATTATAAAAGTTACCTGCTAAATCCAGAATCTCAAGAATCCAGATCAGAAGATTAATACATTTTCACATAACATTAAAACCCCTAAAGGACAGGAATTCTATTCATCTTACCTCAGTGTTCAAATAATAATAATAATAATAATAATAATAATAATAAAGTAGCTATATTTGAACATGTCTATATGCCAGGCATTGTGCTAAGGACTTTAATGTATAATCTCATTTATTTTTCACAACATTATATTACTTTTATTATGCTCCTATAAAAACCATGTATCACAGAGAAGTTAAATAATCTGCTGAAAGTCTTAAAGATGCCACGCTGCCTTTGAGAAACTAGATCCTTATATGGAGAAAAATAGAACTGGATGCCTACCTAGCATCACATTCAAAGATGGAATCCCTATAGATTAAAGATCTAAATATGAAATCATTATAAAATTAATTGAAGAAAATATGACTTGAAAGGGAAAGAACTACTAAAACAAAACTTCAAAGGTACAAAACTACAAAGGATGTAGGAGAATTGAACAACGTAATGAACTAAATAGACCTAACTGACACCTATAGAACCTTCCACCCAACAAGAGCAGAATACATATTCTTTTCAAGTGCACGCAGAATATTTACAAAGATAAACCATATGCTGTGCCATAAAGCAAGTCTCCATAAATTTAAAAAGACCCAAATATGTAGAAAATAAAAAACACACTGCTAAATAATCCATAGTCCCAGCCATTCGACACATAGGTAATTATCCAAGAGAAATGAACACATATATCCATACAAAGACTCGTAGATCAATGTCCATAGTAGCTTTATTTTAATAGTCCCAAACTGGAAATGACTCAACTATCCATCAACAGGTCAATAAACAAATTGTGGCATCTCCATACAACGGGATACCACTTAGCAACAGAAAGGGATGAACTATTGAAATAAGCATCTGTGTGGTTGAATCTCAAAATAATTATGCTTAGTGAAAAAAGTCAGGCAAAAAAGAGTACTGTGTGATTCTATTTAATTCTAGAAATTCTAGAAAACGCAAACTCATCTACAGTAACAGAAAGCAGATGAATGTCAGTCTGGAAATGGGGGATGAAAAAAGATTACAACTGCACACACAGAAAGTTTGGGGGATGATGGGCATATTCATTACCTTGATTGTGGGGATGTTCTCATGGGGAGGTACAAATGTTGAAACTTATCAAATTGTATATGTTAAAAATGTGCAGTTTATGAAATGTCAATTATACCTCAAACCCTTAAAAATATATGCACACAAAATAATAATACACATATGCAAGAAACATACAAACAAAAACATACCAAACATATTAGAATGCTCGGCTTCCTAAAGTGGAGGAAAAGAGAACGGCAATGAAAAACAGAGGGAAAAGGAGAGTGCACGAATAAGCAAATAAATGTAAGAGTCGTAAGAGAGGGACTTTACATGATGGGGAGGAAAGTGAGGGGAAAAAGAAAGAAGTCTACTCTGCTAGCATAGTACCCTTTTAGGGATACTTATAAAGACAGTAAATTCTCTAAGATTCTAAAAACTGAATCTTCAGATTGCCGAACACGAAGGAGGAAATATTTAGAAGAATGAAAATGTCTTTCCTGGCATCCTGAAATAACTCAGAACTCCATATACTCATTCATTTAACAAATATTTACTGAGTTCCTACTACGTGCCAGGTCCTGTTCTTAAGGTCAGAATTCTCCTCGTCACTGCCATCATCTCCCTTCTACAGTCCTACCTGCAGAGGCTTCCGCCTTGACTGCTACTGTAGACGAACCATTTGTGGCTGCCCAAGGGCCTAAACTGGATTCTATTTTCTCTCCTTCTCCCACGTACTCTACAGCACCACTGCTTTTCTGCTTTGTTACTTGTGCCTGAAGAATTTGTGCCTGAAGTTGTTTGGAGGCCTCGTGAAATGCCATTTCCATTCGAATATCATTGTTTTGAATTTCATAGTACAAGCCTGAGAAAAAAGATTGAAATAAATTTGACTAATTTACCACCATCATATACTAAAGAATTGCAACATTTCACTTATTTTTTTCCATTTTTTACCAAAGTTTAATAACTTGGCCGGCCCGTGGCTCACTTGGGAGAGTGTGGTGCTGATAACACCAAGGCCACGGGTTCAGATCCCTATATAGGGATGGCCGGTTAGCTCATTGAGAAAGCGTGGTGCTGACAACACCAAGTCAAGGGTTAAGATCACCTTACTGGTCATCTTCAAAAAAAAAAAAGAACGAATAAGCCACTGAAAAGTAGAAAGTGAAAGAGAGAATCTTATAATGCAAAGAAACCACATTCAGATCATGGGGAAAACACCATACCAAGTAAAGTCCAGGCTACAACATTGGTTGGTTCCAAGCACGTGGCATCCTCAAAGAAAATTTCTGCTTGCTCATAATTCTCCATCAGGACAGCCAGCACACCACACAGCAACAAGCTGAGAACAGATCACCAACATGTTTAACAAATGGTCCCATGTCACATTCTTGAACCCAAGACAATTTCATGCAGAAACTTATCCTCCTCCTCATTCCTCATCTCCCTTGTACCTATACCTGTGGATATGATACTGGTTGAGGGAAAGGGCTTTCCGAAAACACTCTTGTGCTTTGGTGTTGTCTTCAGTTAAGAGGCAGAAGGCACCGTAGTCCAGCCAGTGATCCAGGTTCTGGGGCTCACGGACCAACCTCTGGGCATACAAAGCATTAGGCAGAAGGGCCAAGATTACTGTGATACCATGTACTATTTTTTATGCATATAACATCACACAATAAGCACTCGATTAATGTTAAGTTTTATGAAAGCAGTAACGATGACTTCTTTTTTTTTGCTTACCTCTGAATCCCAAATGCCTAGCATAATCACTTTTCTGGCTTTTAGGAGGTGGTCAAAAAAACTTTGTTTAAATAACTTAAAACTTAAATCTTCAAGCCATTTCTTCCTAGTGTCAGTGTTCTGGTCACCCTAAACTCATCCATGGGAGACTAAAGATTCATTTTATGGTATATCAACCATATATAATAATTCCTGCCCTAATCTTGAGATGGCAAATATAAGTTTATCTACAAATCTGGAAAAAAAGCACCTCATGATGAATGAAAACCACAAAAATTGCTTAAAGAAATTAAAGAAGACATAAATAAATGGAAAGACATCCCATGTTCATGGATTGGAAGACTTAATATTGTTAAGATGTCGATACTACCCAAAGCAATCTACAGATACAATGTAATCCCTGTAAACATTCTGATGAAAATCCTCAAAATTCTCAAAAAGATTGACATAGAATTACCATATGTTCCAAAAATTTCATTCTTAGGTATATACCCCAAATAATTAAAAACAGGTACTCAAACAAATGCTGATACACAGATGTTGTTAGTTTTTCTTTATATTCTGGTTACAAATACTTTCTCAGATATATGTTTTGCAAATATTTTCTCCTAATTTGTACTTTTTCTTTTCTTTCTCTCATGTCTTTCATGGAGCAAAAGTTGTTAATTTTTTTTTTTCCTTTTTGTCTTTTTTCGTGTCCGGCAACGGATCGCAACCCTCAGTGTCGCGCCTGTACCGGACCGGACCGGCAACGGGATCACACCCCTCGGTATTGCACCCGCACCTCGCTCAGCCAGTGAGCGGGAACCGGTCTGTATGTGGGATCCGAACCCTCGGCGGGAGCGCCGCTGCGCTCCCAAGCGGCGCACTGTAGCAGTGCGCCACCGGGCCGGCCCCAAAAGTTGTTAATTTTTTTTTTTTTTGTCTTTTGTCTTTTTTCCATGTCCGGCAACGGATCGCAACCCTCAGTGTCGCGCCCAGCCAGTGAGCGGGAGCCGGTCTGTATGTGGGATCCGAACCCTCGGACGGGAGCGCCGCCGCACTTCCCAAGCGGCGCACTATCCAGTGCACCACCGGGCCGGCCCAAAAGTTGTTAATTTTGATGAAGTTCCATTTATCATATTGTCTTTGGTCAATCGTGCCTTGGTGTCATGTCTAAGAATTCTATTTTGCTACAGGTCAAGACGATTTTCTCATATGTTTCTTTGAAAAGTTTTATAGTTTTATGTTTTACATTTAGATATACGATCCATTTAGAGTTGATTTTTGTAAAATATTTAAGGTTTAGGTGGAGGTGTTTTTTTTTTTGCATATGGATGACCACTTGTTCTAACACTATTTGTTGAAAAGACTATCCCTTCCTCGTGGAATTTCTTTTACATCTTTGTCAAAAATCAAATGACCTTATTTGTGTGGGCATATTTTTGGACTCTCTGTTTTATTGATCTGTGTGTTTACCCTTTCACCAATTAAGTTTGATTTTGAATAATCAAAAACTACTATTTAGGGCCGGCCCGGTAGCACACTAGGTAGAGTGTGGCGCTTGGGAGCGTGGCGGCGCTCCTGCTGAGGGTTCGGATCCCATATAGAGACCGGTCCGCTCACTGGTTGAGTGCGGTGCGGGCGCAACACCGAGTGTTGCGATCCCGTTGCCGGTCGCGGTGCGGGCGCGACACTGAGGGTTGCGATCCCATTACCAGACACGAAAAAAGACAAAAAGGAAAAAAAAAAACACTACTATTTATTATACCCATATTTCACAAATAATAGTAACAATCACTGGGAAGATGTTTAATTACCTCTTCATAATACACTGCTGCCATTTCAAAATTCTCATTGACTTCTGCTTCAAATGCAAAGAGTCGAAGCTGTTCACTGCTTGTATAAATGGTTGAAGTAGCACCTTGGATATTATCTGGCATGGTCTTGTCAGTATCAAGATGTTAAGAAGACAAAATGAAGCAATTACAAGTAGAGAGGTTTTATAAGCATAAACCAATTACTGAGGTTCCTTACAGTCTTACCAATAAAATAAGAGAGTAAGAGTGAACCAAGAGAGAAAATATCAAGGGTGAAAGAGAAGCCGAGGTCTCTGAATATTAACAGTCTGAGTTCATGGAAGTAAGTAAAAATTGCTTAGGGCAGAAACAACTCTCCTCAACTCACAGGGCAGTCAGAGTCCCAAAGCAAGTTGCCTCTGACCTCAAACAACTTCCTTCATTTTCTCTAGTGTATAGGACAAATATTATCACTTTTTAGGTGCCACTAGTTAAGAGTAAAGATAGAGAAAATGGTAGACAAAGAGAAAGCTTTGGAAGCTAGATCTATACTTTTAGTGGGATATATAGATTGATAGATCCTACAAAGGAGGCGTTTTAGAAATAGTCAGAAAGGTAGGAGGAAAACTAGAAAAGGAATATATCTTATATATCCAGATTGGGAGCGAGTCTGGTATAATTCGTGTTCTCTTGGGTCAGAAGCTATGGGCAAGGAAGAGCCCCGAAAATTCTTTAACTAGAAGTAAAAATATTATCAGTGACTTTTAACGAGTACTGTAGCTAAGGAATGTGGAGAGTAAAGCCAAATGTGAGATGGGTCAAAGACAGCTTCTGATCACTGCTTCTATTCTTTTTTTTATTTTTTAGTTTTAATGACCTTGACCTCTAACTCCCTTCAGCAACACACTTCTATGCCTGAACCAGAAATATTCTACCTCTAATATCTCACTCCCAGAACCCACATTCCAGGCCTTCCACCTTTTTGTCACTTAGTCCACTTAAAACTGCTCTCTGACTTCACTTCCATCGCTTCCAGTAAGCCATCACTTCCCAAATGGATCAGGCGGGACCTCACGATCACCCGCTCATTCTGTTCTCTCATCAGCACACTCAGATCTCAGGCATCTGGTCCTCCTCCTGCACTCGTCCTCAAGACTCCCAAATTAAAACAATCCTGCAATCTGACTTTTTCCTCTTAGACAGGAGTGATTAACTGGTCCTAAGGAAAACTACATAGACACTGAGATACATGAGCCACTAAAGACTCTTGTGGCATTCAGTCTTAGCTGAAGACTTTAATACTGTCAGTAATCTAAGCATTCGTCCTCATTTAGCAACATATTCCATAATGCTATGCAGTATCTAAATTTTCTTCTCTTTCTTCAAGTTTTTTATTTAACCTTTATCCCTTCACTTTCCATATAGATCTTAAGAGATAAAACAAATCATTAGGCAAGAAATCCCTCAACTTTTTAACCCCACACCACCTAAATTATTTATTTCTGCATCTACTGTACCTCTTCCCTTTCAGTCTCAGAGGAAGAGGCATCACATCCTTCTCTGTTTCAAGATGCAGATTCTAGGTCCTTTCTCAGTTGTATACCCCGGGCTTGCCATCCATAATCCCCTTTCTCTCCTCAAGTTTCAACCTCTCCCACTCCGATGACTCCTTTTCCCAAACCTGTGGATGTGCTTAAGACTTTTCCATCTTAAAAAGAAAATCTCTATAATTTCTAGCTACTACTTTCCCACTTTTTTCCTTCATCATCCAACTTCCTGAATTTATATTCATCTGTTTCCTAACCACTCATTTACTCCTCAGTTCATTGTAATATGAATCCACCCCATTAGCCCGGTGAAATTGCTATGTAAAGGTTAACAATAACCTCCTTATTGCCAAATTCAATGAAAAGTTTTCAGATTTTGTTTTTCTTGAATTCCTATCAGTATTTAACAATGTTGACCACTTTTTCCTCCTAAAATTCTTTTCCTTTGGCTTCTATGATACCACTGGCTTCTGGCTTTTCTTGCCTCTTTAACAATTCCACTTGTCCCCTTCGTCAACTCTTTCACTCATCCATGCCTTAAATATTGGTGTTCTCTAGGGGTCTACTGCCATCTCTCCTCTCTCTTTACCCATGCTTTTCTCAGGCAGCCTCATCTATAACCAGAGCATCCACATATCATAGCTCCCCAAATCTCATCTCCAGCTCAGATCTCTCTCTTGAGCAAAACCCCACTAGAACCACTGTTCAAAACTAAATTCAGCGTCATGTGTATCCCACCAAATTTGCTCATGTAGTGAGTACTCTGTCCTGGTTAATGTTAATATCAATTACTCAGTCACTGAGTCTTAAACTTAAGGATCTTTGGCTCTTCCTCCTCCTTAATATGCAATAACCAGCTACCATCACCAGTTTCACCACCTCTAACTCATCCTCCACACCGCTTCAGAGTGCTTTTTTTGTAAAATATAAACATGATCATTGGGGCTGGCTGGTTAGCTCAGTTGGTTAGAGTGCAGCCTTATAATACCAAGGTTGTGAGTTCGGATCCCCATCACCAGCCAGCTGCCAAAAAGAAAAAAACAAAACAAAAAATTGATCATACTATGCCCCTGCATACAATAATTCAATTTATTGTTCCCAACTGCTAATGAGAAAAAAATCAAAACTTCCATGTACGGCACACAAGGCCTTCCTCCACGCTCTCCCACCTCCCTCAACAGGGACTGACGCCCTCCACCACCTTCACCCTCTGCCCCTCGACCAGTTCAGCCTTTGCTCCTGAACTGTGCAGTTTCTGTATATGCCATATTCTCCAAGCTCCTAAGCCTCTGTGATGTTCGCTATGACTCAAAGCTCTGTAACACCCACCTGGTGAACTTCTTTTCAGACTTCGAGGTCCAGCTTAAGCCACAGCTCTGTGAATCTTTCCCTGAAAGGTCCCAAGGTGAAGCTGATCACTTTTTCCTTTAGCATCCCTAACCTGCCTTGGAGGGGCACATCTCTAGCACAGCCCTTACCCCACCCTACTGCACTTATGTGTATTTCATACCTGCCTCCTCTATTAGACAGGGGCTCCTTGGAGACAAAAGACAGCAGTAATTCCCATCTCACACCCAACTCTCAATCATCCATGCCCAAGGTAGGATTGTTCTCTTAATCTACATCTGGCTTTCCTATCCTTCCTCTTCCAGGAGGGCTGAACAAAGTGAAAGAAAAGGTGATGGTAGTAGGGAAAAAATCACAGTAAAGGAAAGCGCAAATAGAACAGGGGTTTTGAGGAGGCATAGCTGGTTTCAGACTATCAGGGGGACAAAAAGACTTTGATTTTGTCACTGTTTTCAAATAAACCACAACTGAATACATATAAAAATGAGCAAATTAGGGCAAGATGTAAGCTGTACAAATATAGATATAAACAGACAAGTGGGTGAGAGAGCAGACTGCCAGTCAAATAGAAAAGGAAGGCTTGAAATATTATTGCCATTTGGGCATAATATCTGAAAACTCATAGTGTTTCTTTGTTTTCACTATTTTGAAGAATTGCATGTGTTCACAGAATAAACAGAATGATAATTTTCGTTTCATCATTTACATAGACTATTTTACCTATTTTTGACAACTGCATCACATTTTTGAAAGATATGAAATTTATTTTTCTACAAATTTGAAAGAGCATATCCCCTTGTTTTCTCAAAAATTAGCCTTATAATTTAGGCCGTCTCTTTCTCATATTCTCCTTTGTGTTTTCAGTGCCTAGCACAGAGCAGACACCTCTCAATCAGTATTTGCTGAAGAAAGGAAGAAGCGAGCAAGGAAAGAATCATTTAGAGGAGACCCTGATGCTCTCCAGAGCAAGGAAAGAATCATTTAGAGGAGACCCTGATGCTCTCCAGAGAAAAGGAAGGGCTCTCAGTTCTTGACACCTACCTGGTTTAGCGCCACATGCATTTGATCTACCAAGAACACATAAAGCTCACTGATGAATGTCTGCAGTTCCTCCTGGCTTTCAAATGATGTTGTCTTCAAGTATTTCTCTCTCACAATCTTTACCACGGCATGCTGCAAGACACACAGATCATCTGTCTGATACCACAGTCCAGCATCATGCTGACAGTACAGGTCTCTCTAGGGCTTCTGTTCTAGGGCCCATTGAAACTTCAGAAGGTGGTTGATTTCTCCCTTGGTGACTACTAGATTAGCAGCTCTAATTTTCTCCCAATCAATATACTCTGTATGACTCCTTTCCTTGACGTCACCGTCATCACTAATAAGTGTAATGCAGCACTCATACCACGTGAAGAGAGTCATAAAGCTAAAGAAAACCTTAGCATTAATTTTATGCATTATGCTTCTCATGGTGATCATATGGTTAAGGGAGAAAGTTCTGGTCTGAAAGTTCAGAGAATGGAATTCTAACGTACCACTGTACAACCTCATAAAGTATTTTACACTCTGGTACCTCCGTTTCCTCATTGGACATGTAGTTTTGATATTATTATCTTAATTCAGAAGATGATTGAGAAGCCAAGATAACAGGTGTAGAAGCTTACAATGCTGTACAAATATAAACATAGCATGTTGCTATGGCCAGGACAGCTGCTGCTTTTTTTTTCTCCCCAAGCTAACATTGCCAGGTTTTATACTAAGCACTTTCCATGCATTATATTATTTAATTCTCATAATGATCCCATGTTATAATGTTAATATTGTTAGGTAAAGAAATTGAGGAACAGAGAGGTAAAGTTACATGCCCAAGGACACCCAGCTAGTAAAGGTAGAACCAGTCACCAAGATGTGACTATACCACCTACAGAGAATGCCCTCTTGCCTCCATGGGCATCAGTTGTTTTTCACTTTATTACTTCCACGTGCTTTCTTTGCATCTGTTTAGTACAGTACAGAGCATGTAAAAACATGTAGCAGTTAAAAACATGACTTCTGGAGATAGGCTGCCTGAATTTGAATCCTGTCTTTGACATTTACTATCTCTGTGACCTTGGGCAAATTATTTACCCAACTGATGTTGCATTACCCCATCTGTAAAATGGGGGGTACCTACTTCATATGGTACTTATGAGGATTAAATTAGTAGAATATGAAGCATTTGCAAATTTGCCTAATATATAGCAAACACTCAGCAAATGTTAGCCATTATTATTCAAGAAATTATTATTAGGTAACTATTTCTCAAATCTTGTGATTCTATGGACTAGAGAGAGATGTGAATGGGATAGAGAGAACTAGTTACAGAGTGAGTACCAGATACTGAGTTTCTGCCTCCTAGAGCAACGTGAAATCTGGCCCCAAATCTGGCCTAGCCTCAAGCGAAGAATTACTTTCTTAAAAGCTCATACTTGGAATGGATACTAAACCATTCTAAGACTCTGCAGGCATGGAGCTTCTCCTGACATTCTATCATAGAGAACTTAGCTCTTTGTTTTGTTTTGTTTTTTTTGTGACTGGTAAGGGGATCATAACCTTTGGCTTGGTGTCGCCCGCACCATGCTCAGCCAGTGAGCGCACCGGCCATCCCTATATAGGATCCGAACCCGCAGCGGGAGCACCGCTGAACTCCCAGCGCCGCACTCTCCCGAGTGAGCCACGGGGTCGGCCCAGAGAACTTAGCTCTTTGTTTTGTTTTGTTTTTTTTGTGACTGGTAAGGGGATCATAACCTTTGGCTTGGTGTCGCCCGCACCATGCTCAGCCAGTGAGCGCACCGGCCATCCCTATATAGGATCCGAACCCGCAGCGGGAGCACCGCTGAACTCCCAGCGCCGCACTCTCCCGAGTGAGCCACGGGGTCGGCCCAGAGAACTTAGCTCTTTGTACCAACAAGGCAAGAAAGGTGGGAGTATAGCTGAATATAACTAGGGGGGAAAATGTTAACTGGGTATATAGAGAAAGGTGCTCCATAAAGACGCATAGAACCATTAAATAAATGAATGCTTTACCTTGAGTTGTTCTTTGAAAGCAAAGTATTTCCCGGAGCAATTAAGTTCATAGCTGAGCTGGCACTTCTGCTCCTCCAGGGTTTCGCTATCAATATCACTGCCCAGTTTTGCCAGCTGTTTTCCAAATATTCTGTGGTACTCATCCAGAATGGCTCTAGAAATGGTCTTGATCTGCAGGTGGTAGTCGCTCACCGCCTGGGAAGATACAAAATGTCTGGTGAAGAGGCCGAGGCCGTCTATTAGAAGTATAAAACTGGATTGGGTTTTATGCTCAATAATACTTCAGATATAAACTGCCCTTTTCTTCTCAGCTCAGAGACCACCAGCCAAAGATTAAACATTGTATGCTAGTCACTGTTTGCCACTGATCACAAACAGAACCAGGAATGAGAATATGTGAAGTTCAACCATGTTTTCACCCCTTCTGGAAGACATATTGAAGAGTCCATGCCATTTTCAAGTGTGTGCGCTCAACATCTTATCAATTATAGTTTCACCTTGGCTTTGGCACTTGCCTTCTGAGCTCCTCCAGTCCGACGGGTAAGAGGAGGCCTTGGAGGAATCATTTCCTTGACCCTGTATCAGAAAAACAAAAACAAAAATAATAAAAAAAATCTTTATTATCTGTGGATTATGTCCTCTTACAGCCCACCTCCACAGAGTCTGAGTGGGGGAGATCTGAGATCTGCTCCCCCATTACACTTGAGCACTGTGCCATTCTGTCATGAAAAAGCCTAGATGTGAACTCCCAACACAGTATATTATTAGTCCTCTTGGCGAGCTTAACATCAGCACAGCCGTGTTTAGCAACTTTCCACCCTCCGCCCCTTCACCTTTCCCTTTTCCTCTCTAGGAACTGGTCAGCGAAATTCCTCTCCTGGGAAGGGGTAAACATGACGTTCTCATCAAAGGACCACCTTGTGGGCTGTGGGAGCAGGCTTCGGGCTGGGCCGGGAGGAACGCTTTGTACTGATATAGTGGCGGCACTAATCAGAAGCCTATGCCCTAAGCGACCAGATGTTAGTGGACCACAAGGGCTGTGTCACCTTGCATACCACTGATTTTGAAATTGCCCGTTAGTCTGCCAGAACCCTCAAAGGCTTATAAACCTCCTGCTTTCCTTTGTTTGGGGGAACTGATCTGACTCAGTCTCCCATCTACACTGGTAGAATAAAGCTTCTTGGCTGAAATAGTGCCTGGCTCAAGTCTCTCTCTCTCTCTCCCTTTTCTCCATCTTGTCAAAACTAACATATATGACTTTGGAACAGATAGGAAGGAAGTCAGGAAGCAGCTACTCAGAGAGTATCTAAGTTGTACGTTTGGCTAATTTGAGCCCTGGCTTTACCCTTACACATTTTTTAAAACTGTTCGTGTGCACAAGTGACTGCTCGACGAGGTGGTTGGAAAGAAATGGGTGTCATGATTTTAGGGGCCCTCGGTAGAGTCTCTGAAAGCACAAAGGTTTTGAAATCTGGGTGGAATAGGCAAGTGAAAACTTTTCTTTCCTCTCCATCAAGGATTGTACTCTTGGTCATAATTTATAGGACTGCATTAAATTACAATAATGCTATCAGACTTTAAGATGAGGAAGAAAACACATTTTGTTATTGTCAAATTTCTTATGCCAAAACTTCTACCTTCCATTTTCAGGAAACATTTCGAGAACCAAGAAGAAATTAAGATATAGCTGTTCTCTCCCTTACAGTTTCAGATTCCTGATAAAGTATATTTTACTGCCTTGAAGTCCACAATCAAATTTACAAATTCAATCTTTCTTTAATAGGTGCTATGTAATTATATACCTCTGTTCATAATTATTAATTTAAATTTTATCTATTTTAATAAGTAATATATCCATATGATTCAAATTTAAAAGGTATGAAACGGGCCGGCCCGGTGGCGCACTGGATGAGTGCGCCGCTTGGGAAGCGCGGCGGCGCTCCCGCCCGAGGGTTCGGATCCCACATACGGACCGGTTCCCGCTCACTGGCTGAGCGAGGCGCGGGGGCAGCGCCGAGGGTTGCAGTCCCGTTGCCGGTCCCCAGTCCGGTACGGGGGCAACACTGAGGGTTGCGATCCATTGCCGGACACGGAAAAAGACAAAAGACAAAAAAAATAAAAAATAAAAAAAATAAAAGGTATGAAACAATATACAGCAAAATAGCTCCTTCCAACCTTGTTGCCCAGCTTCCTAATTTCCTCTCCAGAGACAATGTTATTTATTCATTCATTCATTCAAAATATATAATACACAAAAATTCTTGCCCTCATGGAGCTTACATTCTAGTAGAGAAAGAAAATCAATAACCAAGCTAAATAATGAAAATAAATATACTAGTAATATGTGCCATGGAGAAAAATAATGCAGGAAGGCAGAATATGTTGGGGCTTGGAGGTGGTGGAGTGGGGGACCAGGTGAGGCCAGGGAAGGCCTCACTGAGATGATAATATTTGAGTAAAGATCTGAGGGAAGTGAGGAAGCAACTCATGTAGATAAGGACACTGCAGGCCAGGGAACGGCAAGTGTTGCAAGGATGTACCTGGCAAGCGTGAGGGATAGCAGGGATGCCATTATAGCTAGACTGAAAAAATGAGAACAAAGAACGTGCAGAATATATATTCCCTTGTATGCCATTGCAAGGACTTTGACTTTCACTGAGTGTAACGGGAAATCACTGATAGTTTCTGAGCAGAGGAGTTACATGAGGTGACTTCCATTTTAATACAATAATTTTAGAATGCTATATCAAGAATGAACTGCCCAAATGTCAATTAGCTGATGAATGGAAAAACAAAAGGTGGTATATCCATCCAATAAAATATTATTCAGCAATAAAGAAATGAAGTACTAATATAGTCTATAATTTGGAAGAACCTTGACAACATTATGCTAAATGAAAGAAGCCAGTCACACAGACCACATATTATATGATTCCACTTATACGAAATGTCCAGAGTCAGCAAATCTCTAGAGACACGAAGTAGATGAGTGGTTGCCTAGGGCTGGAAGGTGTGAGTAGGGTGGTTAGCAGGATGGATGAGAGGAAATGGAGAGTGACTGCTAATGTACATGGGGTTTCAATTCTGGGAGTAATGACAATGTTATAAAGTTGATCATGGTGACGGCTGCACATCTTTGTGAATATACTAAAAGCCACTGTACAGTTAAAATGGATGAAGTATATGGTATGTGATTATATCTCGATAAACCTGTTATAAAGTAAAATAAAAAAGAAGACATTGAAGGGTGAAATGGCAGATGCAGGGAGACCAGGTGAGAGTGAAAGGGGGGAGGCTCCCCGGAAAGTCTCCTACTTTAATGAAATGAACAAAGGGAGAGAAAGGAGCCTTAGCCAAACTAGGCCTAAGCTAAAGAAGAAGGTAAAGAGAAAAACATGCCCATCCTAGGGCAACCAGCTTGGAATTCCAAGAATTTAAGATTTGCTTAGTAGTTAAGATAATAGCAGGTAACTCAGGAGAACGCAGATGTAAATACTATACATTTTGAGATTAGATATTAACTTATGATCACAAGAGGTTTGGTTCTTCAGGAAGAATTCAAGATAACATCACTGATGCTCTAGATGAGTTTGTTTTTGCAGAAACTGATTGTTTTGAAGGAAGGACCCCCTAACTACCCACTAACTGCAAGTGCACGGCTGAACACAGACTCCAGACTGAGGGGCATCGAGGAACTGAATCATCAAGGTGCCAAAAATAATTATGCTAACTTCATGCTGAGCCAATCAGAATCCTCCACAATACTGAGATCCTTGCTTTTGATTTTTACTGTATAAAAAATCCTTGCTTGTAAGCCACCGGGGAGTTCGGATTTTGATAACACGAACTGCCCATTCTCCTTGGCTGGCGCCACTCAATAAAAAGCTTAATTTTTCTGCTGCAAATCCTGGTGTGCAGAGTTTGGCTTTAGCTGCACGTTGGGCAAGCAGACCCTTCAGTTTCAGTAACAAGAGATTATGAAGACTCTGTCTAGGAAGTTTGTGAGAATTAGATACACAAAGCTAGAGTTTAGGAGAGAGGTCCAGGCTTGAAATATAAATTTGGTAGCCTTTAGTATGTAGATGGTACTTAGAAACATGAGACTGGATAGAAACCAAGGAAGTGAGTAGATGGAAAAGAAGTTCAAGGATGGAGTTCTGGGGGACTCCATCATTTAGAAGCTGCAGAGAAAAAGAAGGGCAGGGAGGGAGGAATAAAACCAAGAGTATAGTGTCCTCAAAGCCAGGTAATGAAGGTGCCTCAAGGAGGACTGAGTAAACCCTGATGACTGGTCAAAATGACCCTGAGAGCGGACCATTGGATTTAACAATGTGGTGGTCATTGATGACTTTAAAAAGAACATTTATCTGAAGATAAATTACTGAAAGTGAATTACCAGATCAAAGGGTTAAAAGATCCATGAATTTGTATTTAAATAGCTATTACCAAATTGCCCTCCATTAGAATTATACTAATTGACACTCCTACCAGTTTGTATGAGAGGGCCTGTTTCCAAATATCCTCAACAACACAATGAATTTTCAAGCCTTTTTGATTAATTAAAAAAGTTATTTCAGGATCATTTGAATTTGCATTTCTTTTATTATGAAAATAATTGCATTCCTTTTCATACGTCAAAGACTGCTTTCAATACATATATTACATATATATAGTTTCTTGTACAGTAATTCAGCCGTTTGGTACACATATGCCTCAGCCAGCAACAAGAGGCAAATAATCTTTTATGAGTATTAGGTACAATTTTCTATCATTGTCATTCTAATTAGCTTTTGCTCTGAAATATTGTCACTTGAGCTAGATTATAATTATAATTAAAATCTGCCTTCCATCTCTCTGTAGCCAAAGAAAAACTTATTGCTAATAACCATTTCTCACAAAAAAAGTACAGGAATATTTAAACATTGATATAAGCATAATTTTAAAAGTACTATATATATATATAAGCTAAATGGATAAAAAGTCATAAAAATTGCTTCTGTATTTGCTGAAAACTTGCGTTAAGGATGCTATTATTCTGTCACTCAGTATTACCTATGTAAGAGCCCAAATGAGAAATCTGTTTTAGAATTTAATGCCAGGAAAAAATGTGGTCTCTTTTGCAACTAGTGTGCTTTCTCCTTTATAATTATAATTGAATAACTCATAAAGCTTCCCTTTTTGTTGGACAGCTCAGATTTGATGCTATTCATGATATCTCTATATTTACACAACCTTCCTTTTTGTTTCCATGGCTTTGAGTTTTTAACTATTTCTAGATTATCACCCTTGTTTTATATATGCCATTTATGGTAAATATTCTCAATTTATTTTTGGAAAGGGGGGGCTAAATGCAAAGTTTTAAAAATTTTAAGAACTCTTTGCTATAAAAGATGAATGTGCTACTACAAGCAGGTAATTCTCAAAAGGAAACTTCCAAATGACTAAGAAATATGTAAAAAAAATTTTATTTCACTAAAAAATTTATAATGTGGATTAAAATTGAGAAATTTTCTTTTCCCAAAAATAATCAAAAATAAAAATTATTGTGTTGGTGAATGTGTGAAAAAACAGTAGCC